GGAGCTAGCAGAAGACCTCATCCCCTTTTCTATACAATTTATGAAAAAATAATGTGACAATGTCTGTCACTATTAAGAACTCTGAAGGTTTCCTGAAGAGCAAAAGTTGTGCCTTTTTGCTTCTTTCCACAGGAAAGCTGTGCCCTAAATTTTGGGGGAAGAGAAATAATGGTTTGAAAGCCTGTAGGTGCCTAGCTCAGAAAGATGCTGCTCTATAGGGTTAAGGTAGTATCTGTGGGGTATCTGTGGGAACTGAACCAGTAGGGCTGAACTCAGTGCCCTCCCTTTTCCAGTGCTAGGGTTGTAGCCTAAGCAATGTTAACTGAAACCAGAGGGCAGGAGATGCAGGAAGATGTGCTTTGGCTCACGTTGAAGTATCTGGAGACCCCCTGCCAGAGTAATTCAGTAATGTGCTGCTAGCTGCAACTGCTTGTCTGGGATGTATCACTTCTGGCATTATCCTGTGGGTAATAAGCTGGCTGCAACTGACTTGGTATAGGATGTTTACTTCGGAGTGGAGGAGCTGAGGTGGTGATCTTTACCTGAAAGTGAACATTTGGAGTAGCGTTTAAAGCCTTTGGTCCACTTTTTTTAAAAAAATTGGGTGCTAAAGCAGATCAAGTTTTCTCCTTAAATTTGCATAGCTGCTAGCAAGAGATTGTTGTTGATGTGTTGGGTATGTGACATTTTACAGTGTTGATGAATTCCCCATCCGTGGGATGCAGAGGGTTGGTGATGCTGGAATCGAATGGTGACATTTTAACAGTCATTACCTTATACGTTCCAGGCTTAGCTCATATTGGAGAGCAAGATGTTTCAGAGTACATTTCTTAGGTATTGCTAGAAATAACAGAGTAGAAGTTTTCAGAAGGTTAGCTGTGTTAGTCAGCTGAAGCATAACACAAAAGACAGTCTCGTGGCCCCTTAAAAGTTTAATATGTTCATCCTGCTATAAGCATTCACAGGCACTTTCCGTTAATGAAGGCCACAGTTTCGCTTCTTAATTTCCAGATTCTTTCCATTTTCAGGAAGGTAGTGATCAGTGTCTACATGAGTCCTTGCACACTTGTTAGTGGTGCATTGGCCTTTTGAAAGTGTATTTATGTGTGCACAAACAACAATTTTTTGTGATTACGTGGGTTCTGCACTTGCGCAGAGTGACGACCTGGAAGTGTCATGAGTTCCAGAAAGCAGAAGTGCACAGCATAGCAGAGAGCATGCTCTGCTGTCAGGAAAAAGGAAGCGCAACCCCCCCCCCCCCCGGCAGCTGGAGAAGGATGTCTCTCTTATCACATGTTGATGATTTATCACGTGGTGTGGTGCTTTTCAGTGTGTCGGTAGTATTTTGGAGAGACGAGACGCATTTCTGTAAAAGCTTAGCAATGTGCCCCAGCTTGTTGTGTTTGAAAAGGCTTAAATTGGAGGGCTCTTCCCACTGTTATAGATAAGAAGTAACCTCAGAGGGGCCAGGTGAGGAAATAGCCTTGAGCAGTGCTAACATAAGCTGGAGGGGGAAGATTATGTTTCTCCAAGATCTGTATTGCTTCATCCTCAGGCATGCTGCTTGCTGACTCTGGAGAGTGCCTCAATGGGAGTTGTGACTGAGCAGAGCTGTTGCAGGAGAAGGCCTAGACAAATCCCTGTTCTGCAGTGACTCTCCAGTGCTGCCTAATTGCTGTGCTTCTGCATGGATAATGGAAAAGGAAGTCAACAGAGCATGTATTGGTGTTAGCCTCAGTCAAGCTTAATGTGTTCATACAGAGCTACTCAATTCTCATCTGTGTTCTCTGTACAGAGCTGACAAGGGAAACATGTTTACAATATCTACATTGGAAGAAGAGGAAGAGTTTGGGATCATGGATTACTTTCGTTTTGCTTCCCCTTTCCCACTTGGCTGTGTATGTGAAAACTATGATAATGAAAAAAAAAGGTTGTCCTACCCGGGTGTTCCCAGAATATGTACTGTAATTCTTTGTATATAAAAGAAAGCAATTACTGTAAAGTAAAGTGTAACTTTACTCTTGACTGTGTGTGATGTGTCATTGAGGCTGTCATTGAACCTAGTCAATTAGACTAGGCTCTATTTAGCATCTTAACCTCAAACAAACAAGAGGGAAGTTCGAAGAGCTGGTAAAGTGCCCAGAAAAGGCAGGAACCAAGATTTTGTTGTCTTCTACAGGGCACGGTTAGGGATTTGCTGAGCTTCCTCTGCATCAAAGCAGCCATACAGCTTCCACAACCATGTGTTATCCAGATGTGCTGGACTATAACTCACATAATCAGGCACAGGCCAATGGTTCTGGAGGGCACCAGGCTGGGAAACAAGAGATTAGTAATAATGAAACAGAATTTGGAATATAATTTAAATCATTATGGAAACTTCCATGATTCAGTGGAACAATAACCAAACTTCGGAGCTGATCCTGTGCATTTTCCAGGGAGGTACTATGTTAGTCTGGTGCAGGAAAAAGGGGAGAGGGAGAAGAGGGAAAAAAAACTTGTTGCATCAGCTTAAAGAATAACTTTTTTTCTGGCACAAACTTTCATGGATTCTGTCCACTTCACCTGACGTTAGTAGATTTATACATATGTTCAGGGTTGAGGGAGATGCAAATGGTGGGGATGGAATTGAAATGAGAAATTAGAGAGAGTCATAATTACTTCGAACTGCTGCCATTCCCAAAACAGAGTTAGGTGATAATGCAGAAATCGTTTCAGTGATCAGGCAATTAAAATAAGGAAAAGCATTGTCCTTGTTCAGCCCTCAAGAAATAAAGTACAGACTTACTCAGCTAGGACTGCAGCCTCAGGCTGAAGCTTTGAGCACATTTACTAGCTCCAAGTGCCTCAAAGTGTCACAACTGCCTAGCTCAGTGGAATTTACTTGCATGTGCACTTGTTTAGGATTATTTTCTACATAGACTAATAGCTAAAAAAAAAAGGAACTGAACTGGACTACAGGAGGATGGGAGATTACAACTGTGCCTTGTGTGGGTCCTTTAGCATTTAACATGAAGAGCATTTAATCAACTCCTTCTCTCCTGACTCAGCGTTCTAATTTGAATCCTAGGACAACTTTCCTTGGGGCCAATTTCAGCCATCAGTCTCCCCACAATGAAAGGTGGGAAGCTTCTGTGATGTAAAAGCCAGAGGCACAAAAGGCTGAAGCACAACTCAGAAAGACAGTAGGGAGGTCCACACAGAGGGAAACCTATGTACAGTCAATATAGTGTTTAATTGTAAGGACTTCATGCAAACCATCTGTATGGTGTGTAACTTTTACCACTCAAAGGGGGGAAACTGAGAAATACTGATGTCTGTGATACTCACTGCTTTTTTCCATTATTTCAAGAAGAGCTTGAATAGCTTGTGTGAAAATGCAGTTAAGAGTAAATTGCTGGCAGCACTGCTTGCTTGGGCATGTGAACTGCCAGAGCTGTCCTCCACTGCCTCAGAGCATGCAAGCCTCCCCAGGCTCATGCTGGCTTTAGGGCTTGCAAAAAGTCACTGTAACTAAGGAAGGCCCTTTAAGATTTTGAGGCATGCAACAGTATAAAGCAGATGAGCTTATCCATCTTTTTCAAGAACAAAGCCAGGAAGAGGAGCCACCCGCTTTCCTGTCCAAACACTCTGGATAGAAGGGTGATGCCACGTAGCAGCTCTGACTGCCGCATGGGGAAACGGGTGGGGGATGCCTGCCTCTGCTGTTCCTATAGGGAAAAATGTGTTCTTAAACCCAAACACCCTGACACTGGGAAGGTCATTCCATGGGATGCTGCATTGCAAAGGGGGTCAAATTACTTTCAGTTACTCACCTAGTCGTCTTCCTTTTGTGTGTTTATCTTGGGATTTCAGTATATCTCTCTAATTTGTAGTCTCCCCATATTCTGAAGCACACTACAAGCCTTGATCAATAGGTCCATTTTTGCAAGGCTGTTTTCCCCCTCTGGTATCATCAAAGGCAAGAACCTCATAACCCCTTTCTCCACCGATTTGATTGCTTGCAACAATGAAGAGCACAACTGACTCACTCCTGTGAGATTACTGTAGTTGCAGACTATACGGTGCACGCAAGCAGCAAATCCATGGTACTGACCACATGAACACTCCTGGTTGCCAAAGCTTTTCCCTTTAGCAGACGTAGCCTGGACCCCAAAGTGATCTGCAAGTGAAAATGCATTTCTTGCCGATCTGGAGTCAATGTCCAGTATGAAGTGGGGAATATGAATTGCAGCTTCATCATGGGTTTTTAGGGTTCTGGGAAGGACACAAAATCTGACTACGGCCAGTCATTTCTCTCAACCTCAGTTCCCAATTCTAAATGAGAATAACCTACATCTAAGGAGAGCTGAAAGGGTAAACATCATCAAGCTGGCAGAAGCAGAAAAGGTGTGACTGCTGCAGTACTGTTTACTTCTCTCTAAGGCAAGGAAGCAGGTAGGAGTGACCTATCTAAAATGGCAGTGATAGCAAATATGGGCTCAGTGGGAATGTTTCTAACAGGCTCCCAAGTTCACATACAGAACCACTGCAATTGCCACCCTGATCCCAGTGGCACCTCTGCTTTCTCTAGTAGCACCTGATGGCACCCCCGAGGTTCTGCTTCATGATCCAGTTAGGAGTCCATGTGTATACCTCCAATCCCATTGTTTTCTTGTCATTTGAGCAGTTAAGTAATGACAAAAGATGCTTCCACAGTACTGGATCAACTGGGCTTTTTTATCTCACATGCACACATTTATCAGCCAAAGTTAGTGAAAGAGTGCAGCAGATTCTAGTGCCAACTTTAGCATTTTTACCCCAAACGAACTTTTGTCCTTGCTGGAAGTTGACTGTCAACCCTTGTGTCATCATCTGTTGTATGAAAGATAGCTCTTCTCAACTCAAATGCTTCCCCTCTTTCCATAATTGCAGGTAATTGCAGCGTCTTCTCCAGGAGCTCCCCGTTAGATTAGTCTAAGAACTGTCTTAGTTGCACCAAGAACACAAACCTGACCATATTCCTCAACAACACAGAACAATGTGCTTTTATTTACATGTATATAACTTACTGCAAGCTATTTAAATAACAAGCAAAGAATCGGACAACACCTTCAAAATGGCAGAATGAACCACAGCCAGCATAGAGTCTCGTCTGCACGAAGCCAGTCGTGAAAGATAGCAATTCCTGACACATTTCAATAATTTAGTCAGCCTCTGGAGGGAACAGGAGCACAAGGCAATCACGGTCTCTGGTCAACAAGGCAGCAAGTCTTGCAGTGTATGCAGAAAAACTCTGAATTTGCTGCATTTTCTCTCCCCTTTCCAAGGAGAGGTGGCAGCTAGTGATGCTCTACTTGTCCGAGGGGCAAGACATGCCACGTAGCAGGTAAAAAGCCGAACCTTGGAAGAGCATGTGCTGCTAACCTCAAAAGGGAGCACTGCTTTTGGCAAAACAAGGAAAGAATTCAGTGATGGCAACAGCTGTAAAAGTAGGTGGTGCTGCTCTTTTGGTTCAAATCAACTCCTTTCTCCTCTGAAAGCAGAACATATATAAGTGTTGGGCAAGTGGTGCAGATTTTTGCAGGATTCTTACAGCTCCATTAAAAACACCTTCCCAGGGGAGAGCGGTGCCCTGTGCCTAAGATCTGAATGCGCCCAACACACCCACCTGCTCTTCAGTCATCTCTCTCAGCCCTTGGTCCGCAAGCCAGTACAGCAGGCATGGGCAGAACACAGATGCCCATTGTTTGGACTTCAATTCCCAGAAGCCCCCTCCGCTTCTGGGTCAAGTCCAGTGGTCAAGAATGCTGGGAGTTGTAGTCCAAAACAACTGGGAATCAACTTTCTGCAGTAGAGCGATGCTCACAGACCCTCTGTTCCCACCTGTTTAACTAAAATTTCTTTAGACACCTCCACAATTATGTCCCTTTATCAGAGAGAGTCTCCAAGACTCCCTCCCAGGAGAAGGGAAGGTGCTGGGTATGTCCCAGTCCAGGGATACCTTTACAGCAGAGGACAGAAGCATTTTCAAATGGGCAAGTAGGTGCACGAAAGCCAGGAGGAACTTGCTGAGAGGCTCACCTGTCATTTCAAAGGCAGTAAACTGCACATAGTCCTCAGCCACCTTCTGGAAGAGTTCATCTAAAAAAACACAAAAGCAGACAACTCGATGCCACCAGGTCATGCCTCACCAACAGCTATCTTTAGATCTGCCCAGGTGTTCCTACCGAACTCAGGATGTTGAGGCAGCCAAATTACTCTCATGGACACTTGAGACCCAACTTTCCAACCCACTTGTCCGCTCAGAGGCCATCATGATGATAGTTCTGAACTCAGTAAAATCTTCTTTTGAACAAAGGTCAGAATGGTTCAGAAGTTTTATTCTGAACAGAGGACAAGGGTGGGGACTAAGTATCATCTCTCCTCATCAGAAGGCATCATGATCCCACCTGCACATTGTCCCAAACCCAGCAGTCAGGGAATAGCAAAGTGGAGGAAACAAGAAGGACCAAGGAAAAGGGGAGAGCAGCGTGTCCATTCCACATTATTCCAGCAGTTGACTCATTCTGGGGTAAGCTTAGCCAAGTGGACTGGCTACACATTAGTGCAGGGGTAAGGAGTGTGAGGCCGAGGGTCAAATCCAAACCTCAAGCATTTCATAGACAACTGCACCTTCTTCCCCTTTTCCTCAGCCACTAATCATCTGGTGGTTTCCCAGCTTTTGTGAAGGTAAAAGGTTGAAATGCTACACCTAAGGCCTATTTATTTATTTATTTATTTATTTATTTGAAGAACTTCTATGCCGCCCCATTCGCATAAGCCTCGGGGCGGCTTCCAAACCATAAATAAATATAATTGATACAATTACCTAAAATATTGGAGACATCCTGGCAAACAATTGTTAAAAACAATAAGTAAAATTAACAATTAAAATAACGTTTAATAAAAAGGTCTTGGCCTGGCACCGAAAAGCAAATAACGACGGCGCCAGGCAGACCTCTCTGGGGAGTGCGTTCCATAAGTTGGGTGCCACCACAGAGAAAGCCCTCCTCCGGGTACTTAGCCTCCTAATATCTTTCACGGAGGGCTCCCGGAGAAGGGCCTCTGCTGCCGATCTCAAGGGGCGGGAGGGCATATATGGATGTAAGCGCTTAACCATTGGCAGCACTTTAGCATTAAAAACACTGGTAAAAATATTTTGGTCCTGTGACTGGCCCTTCCCATCATTGGAACATAGTCCCCAAGAACTTCTCCAAAACTGAATTTGATCCAGAAGCTGAAAGAGGCCCCCTACCCCTGCTCTGGCATGAATGCATGCAAAACATTCTGAAAAGGACACTTACCCACATTCTGTCCAGTTTTACTGGAGGTTTCAAATAGTTCAGCTTTGATCTCTGAAATTACAGTACATCAGAGGGAGAGTTTAAAGAAAAATCTTCCTCACACATCAGTGACATGATACAGCAGCTGCTCCTGTAGGACACCCAATCTGGTCTGCCCTTTAACCCCTGCTTGTGCATTCCATAGTCCAGAGGCCAGCTCCACCCCCACTTCCTTCACCACTCCCAAACTCACACTTTGCCGAAGACACAGGCACAGTGTCACCAAAAACTGATTTCCCTATACGGGCTGCCACAAACAGCTTTCCAAGTATGTCCTCAGCCTGAGAGTAAGTGGGGCAGTCAACTTGAACTGCCCATGAAGGATTCCTAAAAGGGAACCAAGCAACAGAGCACCCTCTTCTCTCTTGGCAATGAGTGAAGAGCACACACCGTCAGCATAGTCCTGGACATCGTGGAAGTCAATTCCCCGCCTTCGCCTGTCCTCGTCCAGCAAGTCACTCTTGGTGCCACATAAATAGATCCTACAATTCTGCAGAGGAAGAAAACAAGGCAACGGACGGTTATTCTAGCGAGCAGATATACCCTCACCTGGTCCCAAGCAGCCACATGGCTAAATCAAGCTCACCTCTAGCCAGGAACAACCCATTAATATGCTGAAACAGTCCCCTGTAAGGGCCAAAATGCAATTAATAGAGACTGGGGGAAGAGTCACAGTGCGCACCACACCCTTACACTATTCAGATTGAACAGAACTGAAAGGCCTACATAAAATCTGAGCTTCCTAAGAAATGGAATGTGATGAAACATGCAAGCGAAGAACTATCACCAACTCCACTCCCTAGCAGGCCAAGTTTCTCAAAGCAGTAGCCATGCTATGCCTCATATTCAGGCTTCTGAGAGAGCAACATTCCCTGCTGCCCTCCAAGAAAAGTCGAGTATAGCTTTTTCTCTGCCTAGAAATGGAGAACTACTTACCTCCTCAAAGTTCTGTAGTTCATTCACCCAAAACTTTGCCCTCTGGAAACTGCTGCTATCAGTAAGATCTGTGGAAGTGGGGAGGTGTCAAGACCAGATCACACACACAAATATATAAAGCAGTTCCACTCACCCGTAGGTGCATCTGAAAACACTCCCCAGTGAGGACTCTTTCATCAGAGCCAACAGAAGTTTTGTATTCTAGCACCTTCCAGTGTGACTGCTGTCGAGCAACTCAGCCAGCATCCCAATATTGCTAGCAAAGGAAGATGGAACGCCATAGGCAGCTTCCAAGGCGCTGCCCTCGTAAGAGCGCAGGGCTCCCACTTCCTGCACGCACTTCAGCAAGTGTGAAGCTGGGCCTGCCATGCAACTGTGTGAAATTACCTGCACCAGGTGGCAGCACGAGTAGCAGGGGGAGAACGGCAGAGACAGAGAACACTGCAGCATGACTTTTTCAGGCACCTTCTCCAACCCAGTGCCCTCTAGACATTTTGGACTTCAGGTTCCATCAGCCCCAGTCAATGTTCAGAAATGCTGGGGGCTGTAGTCCACAACATCTAGAGGGCAGCAGGATGGGGAAGGCCGTTTTAAGGGGTTAGCTCTGGGACAGGGAGTGGGAAGCGAATGCTTCCAACTGAGCTCTGCACAAGGCAGAGAAAAGGTTGGCCCTGGTTCTTATCAGGGAGGTAAACAGAAGCACAATGATGCAACCTCCATGTTGCTGCGCAGGGATCTCTCTCAGTCCTGAGGCAGGGGGACCATCGCCCAGCAGGGAGGAATGCAGAGTGGCCACACACCGGGCGAGCAGAGCAGGCGCTAAATGGCCCCTCCTGAGGAGGAATGGCCCCAGCTAGTCAGCACAGGTTCTCAGCTGGAAGCTGTAGCCTCAGGAAGCACCTTGTCTACTGGGTGGCAGCAAAGGGAGATCAGGAGGCCCTCAAAAGACACACACTGACAAAAGGGACTGATCATACACAAAGCAATAAAACCCTGTGTGATACAACACAGCAATTCTATTCCCTCTAGGTTAGCCTAATATTATTTTCAAGGCTTTACCCACAAAGCTCCTTCAGAACAAAGCTTTGCCTAGCATGGCCTTCATCAAGTCCGCCCAGGCTCAACTATGCTTGTGCTCCGGGGAAGCACGTGCTCCTCGCTTTGGAGATCAAGCACTGCCCTGGAGCTGCACCAGCACACGAGGACTTACCATAACATACAATGGCAGCTTTTGCCCCACGGTAGTATATTCGGCTCATGGCCTCATATCTCTCTGAGCCAGCTGTATCCTAGAGAGCAACAGTGGGACAGGCGTCAGAGAGCAGTAGAGAGCCCCACAGCCCTCTTCCAGGCCACGCAAAACAAGATGATCAAAAAGGAAGAACGAACGCGATCACATTCAAAGATCCTGGGATAGCGTCTACACTCAGGAAAGCTGGCAATCCGCTGTGCTAGAGTTCTTTTAATCACAGCAGTGTTCAGAATAAGAAGTGATCCTCTTTCCCCTGTACAGCCCAAGCACCACTGATTCTCTTGCATGATGCTGGTTTATGCAAACAGCCAAAGTAGCTTCCACCTCATCTGACTTACCCAGATTCCCAAGGTCACTGTCCTGCCTCCCACGGGCATCACTTTGGCCACAAATGCAGCACCTATTGTCTAAAACAAGAAGAAGGTACAAATAAAAGGTACAACTATATTGTACCCTAACAACCCCTTGTAAGTAGTCCCTGGTGGCAAGAAAGTATCACTTCTGGGTAGCTTTAGTAAATGCGAAACCTTTTGTGAAAGGAAAGAAAGGTGCGGCTTTTTTGTTCACCTTTCAGGCCTCCGTGCCACAGGTGACTAATAAGGATATGTGCTCACAAGAAAGCAAGCCCATATTTGTGTAGAATACAAATTTCTGAATATTTTGCAATTCTTTGCCATTTTGCAATTCCGGGACGCACAAAGGCATTTTAGCATGCATTAGCAGTTTCTCAACAGATGGCAAAAGAAGAAGGGGACGGCAGAGGATGAGGTGGCTGGAGTCACTGAAGCAGTTGGTGTGGGCTTGGGTGGACTCTGGGGGATAGTGGAGGAAAGGAGGGCCTGGAGGAATGTTGTCCATGGGGTCGCGATGGGTCGGACACGACTTCGCAACTAGCAACAACAAAGCAGTTTCTCTAGTCAAAATGGCCTTTTCCAATGAAGCACTTTCACTTTCTCTTGTATTGTCCAAAATCTGAAAGAACTTCCAACCCTTTAAAGCAACACCCATTTCACAACTCAGAATTAAAACAAAGCAAGGCAAATCCTGACAATCTTAAAAGAAAAAGTAAAGAAATGTTTAGAAGATCGGGGTAAGAGTTGAGAGAGGAAAACCAAAGGTCAGTCCAACTCTGTCTGCCTCTGCTATTAAAAGAACACACTCACATTCTGGTAGGGTCCCACAAGGAAACGGTTGTGCACGTATCTCTCCACCAAGCTGGTCTTGCCCACATACTCTTTGCCCAGCATCACAACTTTGGCATCCACGCGCTGCCCGCTCATTCTCCTGCTCTTGCAGCAGCCAGGAGCTCCCTCCAGAGGGATTCCAAAGTCCCCCTACCTCCACAAGTCAGCTGAAGCAACCAAAGGAGGTGAAGCTCACCTGCAGACAAGGCAATGAGGAAGTACAGTGATTCAGGAGCAGCAGAAATACACTTCCCTGCTCCTGCGTCACATCCTAGCACTCAAAGACCACAAGAGGCATGTGTCCAAGCAAATGCCAGTACCCATGGCCCATATCCACAGTGTGTGATGATACCTGCAAAGTGCCTAGCACACAGTTGTAGTAGCACCTGGGAGAAAGAAATACTTGGCGGGAATCAGACACAGAATGTTATTAAGGGTGCATTCCTATACATGTTTAGACAGGAAAAAGTCCTACAACTCCAAGCATTCCCTATGCTGCCTAGGGAATGCTCAGAGTTGTAGTTTTCCTGTCTAAACATGCACAGAACTGCACTCGGAAGGAGAATCTAGTGTAGTAGTTAGTTTGCTGGACTGTGACTTGGTAGATCTGGGAGGTTCTCCCCACTCAGCCATTAAGCTGGCTGGGTAACTTTGGGCCAGTCACTGACTGTTAGCCTAACCTTCCTCACAGAGTTGCTGTGAGGATAAAATGGAGAGGAGGCCCACCATGTAAGACCCACTGGCTTCCCTGCAAGAGGAGAAAAGGTGGGATATCATAAGGATAATAATGATGGCCATAATCACCATCAAGTAAACCTCATTTGCCACTTCAGTAGCATAAATGTAGTGCCACTGGTGCCCCAGTTGTGCTCTCTACCTTAACGCTAGTCTCCCAAGAGGAGCGCAAGGTTTCCTCACGGCCTCCATAATATCGACCCGCGGCGGCACAGGCAAAGCACAGCGCAGGGCAGGGCAGCAGAGCCACAAACTCTTCGCTTGGGACCCGGCATGAGCAGGAGGCAGCGGCAACACCTGGGCAACCAGGTGAGGCATCGGTGCTGGAACTCACAACAGCGGCAAGATCTGACGCGGACTCATCGGAGGCGGGCAAGCCTCGGCCGTCGAGCGGCACCCGGCACCAAGCCGGCGGGCTGCACCGACAGGGACCGACATCCCGAGGGCCAGGTCTGGGCGGCGCCCACCTAGAACCTAGCCGGGAAGCGGGAGGAGGGAGAAGCGGCTGCACTCACCTCGGCCTCATGGCGCTGGCGCCCACCGGCCACCGCTGGCGGAGAAGCCCCGGCAGGACAGCCAGTGCCGCAGCTGGCGCGGCCGAGCAGCTTCCCCGGGCTCGACCGGGGAAGGGGCGGGGCCTCGTGCCGGGGCCGGAAGCGCGTGCCAGGGGCGGGGCCGGAGCCGGGGCAGGGAAGGAGGGACGCGGTAGCGGAAGGGCCCGAGCTGGCCGTCGGAAGTCGTTGCTTCTCCCCTGTCCCCGCATGGCGGCCGCTGGGCACCTTTTGCTCCGGGCGCCATCCTTACGGCTGCTGCCCGCGTTGCGGGCGAGGGGCTGCGGCGGGCCAAGAACTCTGGGGGCGTAAGCCGGGCCTAGCCGGCGCCTTTCATCATCACTTGCAGCCCTTCTCCTCCTCTCCGTCTCCCGCAGGATCGGTGACCGCGGAGCTAATGGGGAAGTACTTCTTGAGCCTGAGCGTCCTCAAAGGGCCCTGGGACCAAGTCTTTGCCGCCTTCTGGCAGCGCTATCCCAATCCCTATAGGTGAGCGTGGGGAAGATGCGGGTGGAGAGTGGGCAGGTGCACGACTGTATCGAACGTGACTCCAAGTTGCAGTAGGCGTATTGAAATGAATGGCACTTAACTAATGACTTAGTTAAACTAACTCAGCCTTCCCAAACGTGATGCTCTCGAGATGCTTTGATCTTTAATTGTCGCCAGCTGCAGCCAACATGGTCAATGGCCAGGAATGCTACCATCTGGAGAGTGCCCGTGTTTGTACGTGAGGGACCTTGATAGCAACTTGAATAGATGCTCGATGTCCATTTTCTTTTTTAAAAGCTTGATCCTTTGCGTAGAGGTGAATGTTTACCCCAAAAGAACGCCCCAATCGCGTCGGGAGGTCTGTGCCTAAGAATACGTTCTCCTCTTGTGCATGGTCACTTCTCCGGTAAGTATGCATGTAGGACTGATTTGGAGCCCAGATCTAATCGACTTTCATCCGCGATGTCTTGGACGTCCGCCTAATAGCCACCGCAAAACAGGGCGGTGTTTGCAGGCAGGACTGCGCCGGCTTGTTGGTAGAGCTGATCCCTTTGCCCCCTGTTGGTTGAGGACAATGGAAGAACCTTTCATTCACTAAATGGAAGCAGGGAAGGAGAGCTCGGTGACTTGCGGTCGCCTGGGCGTCATTTCTAGGCGAGCCCTGATTTAAAGACTCTACTCAGCCGCGCGAGCGCATTGGTGCTGATCTAGAATTGGGGGCTGGACTTGCATGTGTATAGGTGGGCTAAATGGGATCAGAAAATATTTATTGGCCTATGGCAGACCTGGAAACATCATGGACGTATTTGCTGGCTATTATCTTTGCAAGTTGTTAACTTCTTAAAGAAACTTCTTTTAAAACTGTACTGGAGCTCAAAGTACTTACATAGGGCTTCAACTTGATGCCTTCCAGGTGTTTTGAGCTACAATTTCCAGCATTCCTGAGCACTGGCCATGCTAGGAGTTGTGGTCTAAAACGTCTGGAGGACTTCCAACTGTATTAGTTAACAGAAGCTGCCAACTGGAGGCTTAGCAATAGGTGCACCGTGGGTGACCTCTTAATAATCACCCACTCACCAAACTCAGCATTTGTTACTTAAATTCCTGCAGCCCAAGCAAGCTAGCACGTGTGTGCCCTCTTGCCCTTATTGGCTGTGTCCAAGCAACAGGTGTGAATGCAGTGTAGAGATTAGTCTTTTAAAAAACCGAAAGTGAAAGTCAAGCCATGGCCAGTGCTCAGTGGCTTACCATGTCTGGAGGGAGGGAGCACTTTCCTAGTTGTCCTCCATGCTGCTTTGACACACTGGGGTACCTGGAAAAGGCAGTTGCCCTCTAGCCTCTTGGCTAGAACAGCAGACCTTTCTGCCACTCATCCAAGAGGCTCTCTGGGTTTGTTAGTTTTTTGTTTGTTTTATTTGACTGTGACTTATTCTGTTTTCTGGGTTAGACTAACATAGCAGGTTTATTAAGTCCTACTACAAGCCATGGCTAATTGGGTCTGCGATCAGGCATGTTAAACCATGGCTTATAAATCACTGTGGTTTAATGTGTTGTACAAAGTGTCATATTGGAGGAAATGGATATGCAATTATAAATCACAAGTTAGGAGGCAAGGTAGGTAAGGACTGGAGAGTGGGTCTTCTAAAGGATGATATCCCAGGTATGTAACTCTTCTTAGTGAGTTTGGCTTGGCACCTACATGATTGCCTATTCAGTGCCAGGCAGAGTCCCTTTTATTTTCCCAAGTTTTTGATGCAGATTTAATCCTGCTGTTTTATGCTGCTTTCATATTTTGTGGCCATAAATTTTATTTCATTTGTGTTTTATTTTTGTTGTAAATTTCCTGGAGAATATATTTGAAAGGTGGCATAAAATACTCAGACTGTTGTCGTAATAGTAAGATGCATGTGGTTGGGTTGCCCTATGAAAGTATTGAGTCAGTACTCTGGGACATTATTCTTCATTCCTGTTGAAACAATATTGTTGAAGAAGAGGTTGAGTCAATAATGACAGGTGTGCACTGACCCATATTTAGTTTCAAAATTAGTTGAAATCACTCCCCATGAGGCAATCGGGAAGGAATCCCAGAGGGTGATGTTCCTGTTCCTCTTTTTTCCCCTCTCCCTCCCTCAACCCCCTTGAGTAGAAAAGCCTGCCCGAACTTTTGGTGCTGCTTTTGGCAGAAGCTTTATTCATAGACTTAACAGAAGCAAGTTGGTTTTGTACTCTGGAAGCAGAAAATAATCAGAATCCATCTGGAAACAGCATTATCCACCTCTGCTGAGTTCTGCCTCCACACACAGCCACTGGCTAGAAAGGTGCCTTACTCAGCCCCTTGGTTATAGTTTAACAAGACTGAGGAAGCCTTCAAATGAAGACCTCAAATAAGCTCTCTTCTCCCCAGCAAACATGTCCTGACAGAAGATATTTTGCACCGGGAAGTGACAGAAGACCAGAAGCTGCTCTCGAGGCGGCTCCTAACGAAGACCAACAGGATGCCTCGCTGGGCAGAGCGCTTTTTTCCAGCCAATGTTGCCCACTCTGTCTACATCCTAGAAGATTCCATTGTGGACCCACAGAACCGAACCATGACCACATTCACCTGGAACATTAATCATGCACGTCTTATGGTGAGAAGCAGCCTTTCCAAAGGGTGTTTGCAGCAGCATGAAGAACTGAGAGCAGTGTTTGACATGGGGGAGGGCATGATCGTTTTGCTGCGCTATTTCCCATACAGGTGGTGGAGGAGCGGTGTGTTTACAAAGAGAACCCAGAAAACAGCAACTGGACAGAAGTCAAGCGAGAAGCTTGGGTCTCCTCCAGTCTGTTTGGTGTCTCCCGTGCTGTCCAGGTGAGAGGACCACATAGCTTGATACATTTCAGTCTGAGATGCCCAACCTTGAGAAATAAACATTGTGACCTTACTAGCTCTATGGCTGAATAGCCAGTCTAATTCATTAGCCTTCGGGCCATGCAAATAACAGAAGGAAACTTTAAACATTACCCCCTTCCTTTCTCAGTTTACATTTGCTGTGTTCTCATTTTAGGAGTTCGGCTTGGCCAGGTTCAAGAGCAATGTGACCAAGAGCACTAAAGGGTTTGAGTATGTGCTAGCCAAAATGCAAGGTGAGTAAATCTGGTGGCGGTTAAGAACAAAGGGCTGGAATGTGTAGGGGTCATTGGCAAAGAGTGGCACTGGGGTGCCCAGATGTTCAGTGTAGTTCTCAAGTTCTAATTGTAAATCCTCAACTGCTTGCTGTTCCCTTAAAATTAAAAATCAGCAGAGCAATGTGTCTTGTAGAATTGACATCCTCAAACCATTTTCCTAGAATGGTTCTAAAAGGGATGGCATAGAGGGTGAAGCAGAATTTTCCCCTTCCTTGAACTGCGCCCATTAAAGTGATCAGTTGATGTTAGAGCTTCCTTCACTCAAACGCACACTTTTCTGGCTCTGGGTTGTTGCCCAAGGGCAGTGTTTGCTTCCTTTCTTGAGAGCATCTTGTGCTAGCAGGCAGTCATGCTCAGAAGCACTTCCACCAACACAGATCAAAGGGGGGAGGGTTCAGTTAGAACATTCAGAGTCCTGTCCCTCTCTCCCTTCCCTGCAGGAGTTTGGCTAGTGAAAACACACAGTAAACACACAGTAATAGGGAAAAACAGAATGCTTTGTAGTAAAGGAAGTTGCTGGGAGTCATGACAGATACCTGGGAAGAGGCAAAGTTCCTGCATGCTGTGAATGAGGTAGGAGAGCTGCTAGGAGGCTTATTTTTTCATAACAGAAGACTCTCCTGGGACTTCTTACAGAAAAGGAAATAAGCCACAGCTAAGGTGCTAATAAAGAGCTAGACTGGTACGACAAGTTGTGTCTTTTTGTGAACATAAAACCAACTTATAAAAAAAATCCTAGGTTAGCAGTGTGTATAGGCAGGAATCCTATGGCCACTAAGCAGTCTAGTCAGCCACAGGAGGCTGAAGTCCCAGCTCAAAAACACACTCCATGGTCAGGGCTGGAACTCTCCATTGCGGCTAGCATGGTTTTTTTTCCTGTGCCAGCTGCAACTCTGAGGTCAAAAGATCATCAGTCTTGGAGCCAGAAGTTTGTGAATGGGCAGGAGTGAGGCTTTACCATGATATATTGCAAAAGCACCCCACCCTGTCCCCCTTGTACAATCATGGAAAATGACTATGATGGCCGAAACGTTAGTCTTTTTCAAGGCAGCGCCTTTGTCTCTGTGCTTTCTTAGGCCCTCCACTAGATGCCCATAATTCTCAAAGTTCAGAGCATCACAGACGGTCACACTGGATGGCACTGCCCACGCCCTGCCTAGTGCTGACTGATCTAGTGGGAACAGACTAGAATGCAGTAGAAAATTCTGTATCCTGCAGGGCTTAAGCTCAGTGGATGTATTGTAAGCTTTTCATTTGCTGATTTATTACAGGTGAAGCACCATCTAAAACACTGGTGGAAACAGCCAAAGAGGCAACTGAGAAAGCCAAGGAGACTGCTTTGGCTGCCACCGAGAAAGCGAAGGACTTGGCTAGCAAGGCAGCTACTAAAAAGAAGCAACAGTTTGTGTGAAAAAAAAAACTGTTTCCTGCTATGGGACTGGATTGCCTCTGGCAAAGTGCAGCATAGTAATACTGGGAAACTCCCCTGTACCTGAGCTTTTCTTCCCCTGGGAGACAAAGCTGACCAGTATGTCTAGGTTTTATTTTTTTTAATTGAAACTGTACAAATCTGACAATCATCATCTTTCTAAAAGGTGTAATTATCGTTAAAATAGACTTCAATTGAATCTAGTGCCAGGGCCTGTTCCTCAGGTGGGCGCTATTCTTCACAGCTGTGATTGAATAATGTAAGTCTCCTTGCTTACATTTTCTGACTCTGCAATGTGGAGGCTGCTGTCTATAATAAAACTCGGTTGAGACGACTGGCATGTTTGCTGTTCAGCAGTTACACCAACAGCCTGTTCTGTGCTCTTGAATGCTCTGGAGAAAACCAGATGCTCAGGATGCAAGTCATTAAAAATATTTACTAAAATACTGCCACATACACATGGGAATACATCACAAAAGGGAAATCGCCTTGTTCTGGGGAGGTGGGATATCTGAATACATCGTATTTTTTTGGTCATGGTTAAGGTCCCCTGAGCTGTAATTCTAGCCCTGTTATTAACTCCAAACTCCAATGGAATGCAACCTATTTTGTTTGGAGGAACTGAGAATAAGAACTGCTTTCCTAAGGTGTTTTTTTTTAAATCCTGGAGGCCTAGAGCTAAGTGCATTTTTTTTAATAAAAAAAATAATTTTATAGGATTGAGTATGCTGGACTCTAACTCTGGCTTACCGATTTTGCATCCAGTTCTTACCAGTGCAAACCTCTGCAGAAAGCCAAGAGCAGATGAGATTGCAGTAAGCTTTCACCACAGAATGGTGCATTAGAATAATGCATAGCTTAAGCCACTGGCTACAGATCAAGTACTTCGAAGCCTCATTCTTCACCCTGTCACCAAGAAGCAGTAAGGAAAGTTAGTCAGTTTCTCTCTGAGTCTCTCAGGCTGGTTTTGAGTAGAACATAGGCATGCAGGATGAGAGGTCCTTTGCACCATGCTGGAGGTTCCTCCTGTACTTGGAGAAAAGAGTCTTGTTGCAAGCCACGTTCTGTTCATACTGGCATGCAGGGGGGATGAGAGCTGCCGTCATGCTCAGACTTCTGTCCATCACAACCAGACACTGCTGGTGCTGGAATAGCTGTGCTCCCGTCCAGTGCTGAAGGCAGCCACAGCATCCTCTTCAATGCTGCTGAATGCTAGTCCTTCCACATCCACCTCAGCATCTTCTGAAGCAGAAAAAATGCAATATAGTTCTCCACTGGGCCAGAAGAATACAATATTATTTTCAAGAGGGTTCAGTTTGTGCCTGAGACTATGGTCTAGATCAGGGGTCCTCAAACTTTTTGACCAGGGGGCCAGTTGAAAGCTGCTGGTGCTGGGCCCGGGTCAGAAAGGTGGTGCCTGGTCGTGCGTGTGGGCTGGCGAGGGGGTGGGGGCAGGGGTGGCGCGTGCGGGTGCTCACACTGTGGCAGGGGTGGGGCGCGAGGGGAGGGGAGGGGACGGGAGGCGCGGGCCAGCACATGCCGCAAGGTGGGCACATGAGGTAGCGGCTTGCTCGTTTGGAGATGGTTTTCTCCAAGCGAGCAGACCGCTGCCTCCCACACACGGGGTGAGGTGGGTGGTGGCAGACGCGTGCATGGTGGGCCAGATCCAGCCCCCAGACCATAGTTTGGGGACCCATGGTCTAGATGGATAATTTTCTATTTAGAGAACCAGGTCCTAGCACTAAGGGGCTGGCCCTCTCTGCTCTTGTCCTGCAGCAGAAACATCTAGCCACAGGGACTGCAACACCTTGGCTGTAGGTAAGCACTCACCTGAGTCTGAGCGTTCAGATGAGAACCGAGAGGAGTCTAGGCTATCTGCTCGTGGCCGTTCCACACTTGAGTGGGCCAACAGTTCTTCCAGGCGTTGGTGCAGGTTCTGCTGCTCGCAGCGTAACCGTTCCTTCAGTTGCTGAGCTCTCTGTTCTTGCTCTTCCAGTTTCTGGAAGTGAAAGGAGGGTGGGGATGGTGAGATTAAGGAGAATATCCAATCCCTTGTGTGATTTTTTTAGTCCCTTACAGGCTCAACTAGCAAGGCTCTGAAGTTAACAATGTAATTCATCAAAGCTACCCAGCAGGAGCTTGGCACTGTGCTTGGGAACTTCACAGGGGCCTTACACTGGTCCCTGTTGCAGCCAAGGTGCTGGAGCAGCAGGATCTTTAGGATGATCCAATAGGGCTGTTACAATGTGGGATCCTGCTCTTAGCAAGTGTTAGTTCATCCAGTACAGCAGCAAACTAAAACTACATACCCCATAGAAAACAACACCTGGACTTGGTTGAAATCAGATAATAAATCTTTGCTATGGAGCTCCAGTTGCTCTTTAGTCAAACTTGTGATGTTTTCCCTGGGGCCAGAGAGATTTTCAATCTTCTCAGACCCACTTGCTCATACACACCTGTCCTGCCATGTAGTCCTCCTCCTTTCAACATGGCAGGACAGGTGTGTATGAGCAAGTGGGTCTGAGAAGATTGAAAATCTCTCTGGCCCCAGGGGAATGCAGAAGAAATGGAGGATGGCTACACAAGGCCTACTACTTATACACCCGTCAGAACACCAAAGAAATAAAGTTGACACGGCAGGCAAAGTTGACTCCTAGCATTACAGTTTCCAATAAGGAGTGATGTGTGCCATTTACCTTAATATGCAGTCGGGCTCGGTGCAGAAGATTAAGGGTCGTGTATCGAGAATGCTCTGCGTTCATGGGGACCTGCTGTTTCAGCTGCTCTAAGCACTGCCGCAGCTGGGCCCTCCTGCCAGCAAGAGAGAGGGAAAGAACCATGTGGATTTGATAAGGAGACAGCATGGGAGCATACTATGTCTTGGCAGAAGCCTTGAGGCAACAGCCGCTCTCTTCCAAAAGAGGCATGTATTTCCCATTACGTCTCTAGCAAAAGGGCAACAGTCATCTGTTTATGTCAGATCTCAAAGTTTCCTTTAATCCAAGGATGGGGAAATGTGTAATCCGACATCTAGAAGGTCACAGCTCCCATCAGCTCTAGCTTGTATAGCCAATAGTGAGTAATGCAGGCAGTTGCAGTCCCAACAACATCTGGAGAACTGCACCTTCCCCATCCTTCCCTTAATTAATAGACCCACCATCCAAAAATGGAAGCACAATATTTCAGTCTGCTGAGTAGATGGCTAAAAGCTGAAGTGTACAACCAGAGATCATTAGATGAAGTAATGTGTGCGAAATGGTTGCATCCCAGACGCAGGGGATGAGGCCAACACAGCTTTCTTTACCCACCACTCTCACTGCAGGGGACTCCACTTAGGCTAGTCACTCATGGTTGTTCTCACTCGAGGCAGGACAGGAGTGACACGAAAGCCCCACTATAAGAACAATGAACTGAACAAGGTTGAAATAGCAGAAGTATCAGGAGATGTATATTATCAGGTCTCTTGTGTGTTTATCAACGACGGGGCAGTAGCAACTTAGTGCATTACAGTGGTGTGTGTAAACAAGTCATGGATCTTACATCACTCCCACCACCTGTTTGCTTTTCAAGTCTTTCTATACTTGTGGAGCTGTAGCCAAATGGCACATAAAGGGAGCGATCTCAAGTTCTGCAGGTACTCAAAAGTCTAGGAAAAAATCTTAAGGGAGTGAGGGGAAAAGACCTGCAAACACAGTGCCGTAAGACCAGAACAGAATGGAATGTAAAGAGACTAATGAGTGGGACAAAAAGTGAGCAATAGGTGAGGTGGAAGAATGGTCTGACTGGGAAGGGTGGGAAAGAGGCACATAAAGGGTAGGGGGAGGCACATCAAGAGCTCTTCAATTGTTTGGACAGGGTGCTTGCTGGTTACTTTTTAAGAAAGTATTTTAAACGCTTCTTCCCACTCCTAGATAGAGCACTGACATCACATTCATACATCTGGGACTGGGCACAAGCAGCCACTTGCATCCAAACTGAAAAAAACCTCAAACTTAGGTCAAGAAAGGCTGATCATATTAGTGAGCAAGGAATACTAATTGTTGGTATATGTGTGTATAATAAAATGGTAGTGCTAGAACTCTGAGCAGAAATACATACTGAAATATTTTGTTGCAGGATCTCCATGTCTCTGAGTTAGTCCTGAGAGTAAGAACAAAACTGAACACCATATGCTGATTTTTGATATAATACAAACTGCATATGGAAAATCAAACTATTAAATCAAAAAGGTGTTTTGACAAGACATAATATCTAAGAATGGACCATTATCAGGAACAGTAAATGGGCTAGGACGTTCCCTGATTTGTCACTTTGTGTTTCCTTAGTTTAAGCAGGTGGCCACCAGATACTTTCCCTGGTCTCCTTTTGGTTCTGTGTCTTAATTCTATCCTCATTTGACTGGAAATTATTTATAGTCCTCAGCCATTTCCATTAAATTCCCCAACCCTCCCATAGCATTCTTCTCAGGCACTTTTCCAGTGGGATTTTCTACAGTGAAAATGAAACCCCAAAACATGTCTAAGGCTAAAACTCTATGCATGTGTATCTGGAAAAAGTTCCATTGTACTGAATGGAGCTTGCTTTTGAACTGGGGTTCTAAAGGCCAAGCCCCCATCCCCCACAGCTAACCCTTCCGCAGGTGGCAGCTGGGCCTTGGAGGGAGAACAGGGGCATGCCATAGTGGGGAGTAGAGGAGGCTAAGGCAGTGGAGTTGCGCTGATTTCAGTTGGCAGCCCAGCCTCCTCCTCTCTCTGGCACTAAATCTAGACAGCTGAAAATGGCCACCTAGAGAAAACGCAGGGCATGAGGTGTGGCAGTGATCTCTGTTTCCTTACTCCTAACATGCGATGCTCGTAAGTGTCTGAGTTTGGAGGCTTCCAAACATCTGCTTCAGTGGCTACAGGATTGTGTCCTATGATTACTAATCCATAGCATGCTGTTTATACAATAATTGTGCCAGCATCTCAGTTTAGCCAGAAGCACTGAAATGGCCTAAGACAAGCTTCTTCCCCATTCAGCTCCTTTTGTATCCCCCACCTTAAAGTCATCGTATAAAGAAAAGCTGGTACATTCAGTGCTATTAGCTTCCTTGTGGTGCAAAACTCTCAGAGAAAAACTGCCTTCCCTTTCTTCTATCAAAGCTTACCTGTGTTTCTCCAGCTCATTGTGTACAGACCTGAAGGCAAACAGAAAAGGAAAATACGATTGATGAACTGCACTTAGATATTCAGAAATTAATGGTTGCTTGTATTCATGCTGCCCAGTGAAGCAAAAACAAGCTAAGCTCTCATCCAATGTCTCTTGCCCAGAACATTTCTGCTGCTCTCCATGTAGTTAGTGGTAAGGAGATAAGCTGTTCCAGAAGTAGTTTAGTTGCTCAGGAATTAGCACTGGACTATGACCATTCAATGTCCTTGTTGCTTACTCTCCAGCATCACAAAGCCACATTCGAGCCCATATAAAACATGTAAAAAATATCACAAGTCTAGGGCAACAAGGTATGAGGCCTAAGGAATGCAGAACATGATTATTTTGTTCTCATGATTTATTTCATTTCTATACTGCCTATAGCCAAAGCTCTCTGGGTGGTTTACAGCAAAGATGAACCTTCTGAGGGAACTGGTTCTGAAACCCCAGAAAGTTTCTGCCAGTTGCAACAGCCAGTACTAAACTAAATGCTCTGCTTTGGTATAAGGCAATGTCCTGTGTTTGAGTCTAACAGCAATTCTGCCACTAGTGCATAAAGAACTAGACAATAGGAATGATTGTAACTGCTAACCTGAAAGTTAGGCACACATGCATTCACACTTTATATGGTCCCATAGGAAGAGATCTACAAATACTGGTTCTATCAAGTTGCTTTCTGTAACTAGGGTGATTGTCTCCCTGTGGTCTGGTTTGTATAACCTGACAGTCTTAAAACAAGCTATGGGTTATTTGAGGATTGTCTAACACCCTCTGCCACCTGGGTTCACAAAACACAATGAACTGAGTGCCTCACAAAAATAGTGGGTCCTCGACATGACACAACAGTCTCAGTAAGTAAATTAATCCATACTGGGCTGTTGTGCAAATCAAGCCATTGTCTTGAAATACATGCCATGCACAGAGAAAAATGGAAACTCAACATGAGACGGCTGGTTCATTACAGAACAAGGGGAAATTTGCAGAGATAAACTTTTTTTTTCTTATACCACACTGCCAAACCCCCCTTAAAAAATAAGGCCATATGTTGCTTGTATAAACATATTATTTCTGTTTGGAGCCCTTTCAGTTCACTAAGGAGACTAACAAGTTCTGCTGAAGTTTCACTTCCCTCCTGCTTTTTGGTGACATAATCTTCTATTTTTCTAGATAGAAACTTATTTACTACACTCACATTTTAGACTTCTGCTCTTCTGCTATCATCAAAAGCAAGATATCAAAACTAGAAATCTTTAGAAGAGCAAGAAGAACCTGACTCAAAATAAATCAACCCTTTCCCTTAAACAGATGAAAATTTGGGCAGATGGAAATTTGCTGGTAACAGATCATTGAATGATCAGTCAGAATTTTCTGGTCCTACATGGGGAACATCAACATCAACAGCAGCAGATTATCCCCGCGCACACACACCCCAGATTATGCTGGTGAAAGGATGGAGAAAGCTTGGGCTAATAAGCAGTGGATTTTTGTATGAAGGCCTGTAAGAACCAATCATTTCTGCTGTTCAGAACAAATTCCTGGGCTCAAAATTCTTCGAATCGTAGGTTTTGTTCGGCAAGCTTCGGTTGATGGATAGTAAAATTGAGGCGCAGATTCTGCAACCCTGACCTCAGCCTACCGCGCGTCCCGAACAATAGTCGGCTTCTGCGATCAGTGCAGGGTCCGTTTACACAGGCCAATCAGGAGAGAAGGAAATGCCACCTCCGAAGCCCGGGGTATTGGCGAAGGAGTCTCACCTGAGGCTATTCAGGGCCTTCCGAGGCTTCGGCCTCCTCCGCGACTGTAACACGTCTTGCCCGCAGTAAGGCGGCGAGAGAGAAGCGTAACCATGCTCGGCTTCTGAGAGAGAGGAGGGGAAAGTCAGAGGCTCACGCACTAGTTCGCCCCTGCCCTTCGCTTTCTCACCAAGAGAGCCCCGCCCGCCCGCCCCCCACCCCCCCGAGGACGCCCAATTCAGCCAGCCTGCGGCCGAGGCAACATATGCATCAACGAACACTGTCATCCCCCCCAGTGGGCAGGTACCTCTCTCCCTCCGCTCCACGTACTCGGCCGCTTGCAGCAGCACTTGAATGTTGCGAGACATGAGCTCCATGACGACAAGGGACCCGCACCGAGCAGCGACTTTGTGGCACTGACACGGCAACAACCCCCGATCCACCGCCTCCAGCAGCCAACCCAGCCTCGACACCGCCCCTTCGAACCCTCCGAGGTTCTGAGCCCGCCCCTTCGAACTCGTGCGGCCACAGCCGACTTCTGGATCGCTCGGAGTTCGGCGCAGGAAGGCCGGAGCGCCGGTGCGCGGGTGGCTACTTGCTTTTATGGAACTGGCGGAACCGGGACGCTCCGACCGCCCACCCCTCTCGAGCTCGATGCGGCCCGCTGTATTGTTTTGAATCTCAACCTGCGCTGGGCGTGGCCAAGGAAAAGCGGCGCTATGGATTGGCTGAAAGACGTGTCCAGACATTTAAACGTCAGTGCGCTTTCAAAACAAATTCGGGCGGGAAAAGAAGAGGCTTCAAATTTGAATTGGGGGCGGGGCCAGCACCCTCGGTAGGAATATACATGCGGGGAGGAGGAGGGAGACGTCGGGAAAGTGATATTTTCCTAGAGGCTGTTCCTTATTGTCTGGATCGCTGTCCGTATGTGGGAAAAGTGCGAAGCGGAGTGAGGAGAAAATACTCGCTTGTCACTCTAAACCTTGTGAGCTTGCATACCTGCCCCCTAATGCCCTTGAAATTACTGAGTGTAGAAGAAGGGGCGTTTATACAGGATTTCTGTACCACATGAAAGGGCCCGCTGTATGAATTTTTCCATTGGTTAAGATCATCAAGGGAGACTCTTCGAGTACCTCAAGTACATTATGTGGCGAGAGAAACCTCTAGAATAGCATCCCAGTTATGAAATTTTCACAGAGGAGTGACTGGTATAAATAAGAAATTTTGCAGGGTAAGAGGTAGCTCAAAGCCTGTTCGTCCAGGCATTTTTTTAATTGGTTGGCTTGATCTATGTTACCTTTGCTGCCTTCCTTAGTTATATTGTGATGCGGTTTTACTGTAATTAAAGGAGAATTTTATCATACTGTTGTATGTATTCCCTGATGTCTTGCACACTTGAATGGCAGTTTGAAATTTCGCTACATAATACATTTGAGTTCATTTATTGGCACTTTCATGAAAAGATGCACGAAGAAAAAAGCAGAAACAGAGATTATGTCACAGTATAAAGCAGAAACAAAATTTTACAATATATTGCTTGTGTCCACTCAGCACCGAGTTTATTTCAGCAAGAGTGAATTTATTTATTATTTATTTATTTAAAACATTTCTATGCCGCCCCATCGCAACAAAGCCTCAGGGCGGCTCACAACACATAAATAAATACAGAAGTAATAAAATAAATAAGTACTAAATTATACAATAAATAACACCCCCCCCCCAGTGCATTCTCGGCTTAAAAAAACCGTAGTTAATAAATAATTAACAGTTAAAGTAAGTTTTAATTAATTGAATTATAGTGTATAAAGACTGATACCCCTAAAGCAGGGGTCGGCAACTTTTAACACTCAAAGAGCCATTTGGACCAGTTTCCCACAGAAAAGGAAACACCGGGAGCCACAAAACCCTTTTGACATCTAAAATGCAGATAACACTGCATATATCATTTTCCCCCTTTATGCTATGTATAAAAAACTAAGTGTGTTGCATTTATGAAATCAATGAACTGCTACAGAGAAAACAATTTTTTATTTCTGCATGCAACAAAAACGTTTTGAACTCGGAAAAAAAAGACGCTGGGTTGAAGGTTACTTTCAAATAAAATACTCAATGTCTATTTGAGTCCTCCTTGTATTTATGAAATAAAAAGCCGAACTTAAATTATCCACCTGCAGCAAACCACAAATGCCGTCTGCTTCTGTGTGCCGTGATCCTTGTATCGCGTGTACTGGAGGGTGCAGTCAGCTGTCAACCTGAATAAAAAAAGGACTACTTCACTGAACAATGTAAAATATATGTTTGCACAATAATAGCCAATTAAAATATTTATTTTACCCAGTTAATATGATTTTTGCTCCTGAACCTCAGTGCACAGCGTCTGCACATCAGGACTGTAAGACGTCACCTTCATCTTCACACAGGATTGTAAGCTGTTGTCTGTGAGACATGAGAGATGTTTTCTGACTATTTCCTGAGCGGCCACAAAACTAGCAGATATAGTTGAATTTGCAGACTTCATCCACTTCTTGAAATGATTTTTGCTCAATTTCCACATCAGTTCCGAAATGGCTTTTTTTCTCTCATCTCCACCCGGATATTTTTCAGCAAAGGCTGTGTGTTTATTCTGGAAATGTCTTGCAACATTCGACTTTTTGTTGTTTGCCAATTGCTCACCACATATTAAGCATACTGGTAAACCAGTCTCGTCAGCAGTGAAAGCAAATGAATCTGCCCACTTCCATTAAACGTTCTGTTTTCTTCTGAAACTTTTCTTTTCTTGGATTTATCCTTGGTTGGCCTACCGGGGGTCGAAAAGCTCAATAAATCACGTGCTGGCGGGTGTCACACATTGGCGGTTGTGATGCATATTTTGAGCGACAGGGAGCTGCAGCAGAGGGATGAAAGAGCCACCTGCAGCTCCGGAGCCACGGGTTGCTGACCTCTGCCCTAAAGCATCTCTCTCCCTACACAGGTTGTTGAAGGCTGTTATGTTTGGGCTTACATTAAGTAGCTCTGTATTACTCCTGTAATGGTTCATGAAGCAGATGCAAGTTTGCTTTGCACTTAAAAATAATTAGAATGGAGCTGACTGTACTTGAAAAATAAACGCAATGCAACATTATAGTCGGAGAGAGATGTGAATGTACCATAGGGAAGCTGTACAGGTCAACTAGAAAAGCAAAATTCAGCCTAGTCACAGCAGGCATCTGGTCACTATTTAAAAGTAGATGCAGTTCTAGTACAGGTGTAGAGAACCTAAGCACCTTTTAAGATGTTTCAGTATCTGGACAATGAAATTATCAAGTGGCTGCAGGATCCTTAGTTTCTAAATGCACTGATACATACAACTCTATACATTTCAGACAGCAAAATGAATGTATGTATGCTGGGGGAGGCACTTGCATCACAATATCCTGCACACTTATCATACATGAGTTACATGTGCTTTGCAATCGGTAAAGAGAGCTATGGCATTTAACAATATAAAGCAAATTTACCAGCTGCAATATAAGTGGCAGGCCCTGCACCAGTTAGTACTTTGATAGTCTTGCCTTTATAAGAGTCATATAAGGACATAAGCCATGCTGGACCAGTCCTGCACTCTGTTCACACAGAGGCAAACCAGCTGCCCACAGGATCCCTCAAGCAGGATGGGTGCAAGACCTCCTCCTGCCCAAGCTCCTCAGCATCTGATCAATGCAGGCATGCAACTTCTGCTAACGGAGATAGCACACACCGAGGCCACTGGTATAGCTGCCTCCTCCATGAATGCATTAAATCCCATTTTACAGCTATCCAAATTGGTGGCCATCAGAACTTCTCATGGCAGTGAATTTCATACTATTTGCTGTGTGAGGAAGTACTTCCTTTTATCTGTCTTCAGTTTCATGGGATGCCCACAAGTTTTAATATTATGGGAGAAGGAGAAAAATGTATCCCTCTCTACTTTCTCTACAGCATGCATAATTTTAAACACCTCTGTCACGTTCTCCCCTCATTCACCATTTTTCTAAGTTTAAAAGTTCTAAGTTTCTGACGGAAACGGTCTCGGACCTGGTGTTGAGGACCCCCAGGATGCTGGTCCTGGGGGACTTCAATATCCATGCCGAGGCTAGTTTGACCGGGGCGGCTCAGGACTTCATGGCTTCCATGACGGCCATGGGGCTGTCTCAACATGTCACCGGCCCGACCCATGAACGTGGACACACTCTGGACCTGGTTTTCTCGACGGGGCAGGAAGAGGGTGGTCTGAGGGTGAGGAATTTATGCTTGACTCCCCTGTCATGGTCAGATCACTTCCTAGTGAGGTTTGTGCTCGAGAGCGACATCTCCCTCTGCAAGGGTGCAGACCCGATTGTGTGGGTCCGCCCCCGGAGCCGGATGGATCCAGAAGGATTCCTGAAGGCTCTGGGGGAGTTTCCGGCTGACAAGACGGGTGCTCCTGTCGAGGCTCTGGTTGAACTGTGGAATGGGGAGATGACCAGGGCTGTAGACACGATCGCTCCTAAGCGTCCTCTCCCATCGGGCAGAGCCCGCTCTTCCCCTTGGTACACTCCAGAATTGAGGGCAATGAAGCAGGTTGGGAGACGGCTAGAGCGTAGGTGGAGGAAATCACGTGATGAATCTGACCGAACACACTTAAGAGCCCACTATCGGGCCTATGCTGTGGCGGTGAGGGCGGCGAAAAAGAGACACTTCTCCGCTTCCATTGCCTCCTCACAATGCCGTCCGGCGGAGCTCTTTCGAGTGGTGCAAGGCCTGGTTCACCCAGGGCCAAAGGAAGAGCTGATTCCACCCTCAAAGGCCCGCTGTGACGACTTTGCCGAGCATTTTAGGGAGAAAATCGCTCAGATTCGTCACGAGCTGGATTCCACTATTGATTCAGAGGTTTTAAGGGAGACACCAACGCTACCGTCTGGTCCAGAATTATTGGATGAATTTCAGTTATTGCGGCCCGATGATGTGGACAAGGTGCTTGGACGAGTACGTCCTACCACTTGCCTTCTGGACCCTTGCCCGTCTTGGTTAATAAAGGATTCCAAGCACGGGATTGGAACCTGGATCTTGGAAGTGGTTAACGCTTCTCTGAGGGAGGGTCGGGTGCCTGCTCCTTTAAAGGAGGCGGTAGTCCGACCGGTCCTGAAGAAGGCGTCACTGGATCCAGGGATGGCCGCTAACTATAGACCAGTGGCCAACATCCCGTTTCTGGGCAAGGTGTTAGAGCGAGTGGTGGCGGGACAACTCCAAGCACTCTTGGATGAAACTGATTATCTGGACCCATTTCAGTCCGGCTTCAGACCCGGGTACGGTACTGAATCTGCCTTGGTCGCCCTGTACGATGACCTGTGCAGGGAGAAGGACAGGGGGAGTGCGTCCCTGTTGGTTCTCCTGGACCTCTCAGCGGCTTTCGATACCATCGACCATGGTATCCTTCTGGATAGGCTGGCGGGATTGGGGGTCGGAGGCACCGCTTTGCGGTGGTTCCGCTCCTATCTCAACGACCGATTCCAGAAGGTGGTGTTGGGGGACTATGGCTCTGCGCCATGGCAGCTTTGCCATGGGGTACCGCAGGGTTCCATTTTGTCCCCTTTACTGTTCAATATCTACATGAAACCGCTGGGATAGGTCATCAGGAGGTGTGGGCTGCGGACCCATCAGTATGCTGATGATACCCAGCTCTACCTCTCGTTTTCCACCAATCCAGGTGAGGCAGTGGCTGTACTGAACCGGTGCCTGGCCGAGGTAATGGGCTGGATGAGGGCCAATAAACTGAAGCTCAATCCAGACAAGACGGAGGTCCTGTTGGTTGGCGGTTCGGGCTTCGGAGAAGGTGACCTGAACCTTGTCCTGAATGGGGTTGCACTCCCTCCTAGGGACAAGGTCCGCAGCTTGGGAGTGCTCCTCGACCCGGAGCTTTCACTTGAAGCTCAGGTGACAACAGCGGCGAGGAGCGCTTTCCTCCAGCTTCGGCTGATTCATCAGCTGCGCCCCTACCTGGAGTACGACTGCCTTGCAACAGTGACTCATGCGCTGGTGACTTCCCGTCTTGACTTCTGTAACGCGCTCTACGTGGGGCTACCCTTGAAGACGGTCCGGATACTTCAATTGGTTCAGAATAGAGCTGCCAGGCTGCTGACGGGGACTGGACGTTATGTTCACATGACACCAGTTCTCCGTCAGCTTCACTGGCTCCCCATTGAAGTCCGGGCCCAATTCAAGGTGTTGGTAATGACCTATAAAGCCCTAAACGGCTTGGGTCCTGGTTACCTGAAGGAGCGCTTACATCCATATTTGCCCAGTCGCCCCCTGAGATCGGCGGGAGAGGCCCTTCTCCGGGAGCCCTCCGGGAGAGAAATTAGGAGGGTGGCTACTCGGAGAAGGGCTTTCTCAGCGGTGGCGCCTAAGTTATGGAATGCGCTCCCCAGAGAGGTCCGCCTGGCGCCGTCGTTATTTGTTTTTCGGCGCCAGGCTAAGACCTTTTTATTTAAGCAACATTTTAAATGCTAAATACAATTGAATTTTATCTGGCCAGGGCGGCTTATTTTATAATGTGAGTTTTAATTAAGATTATTTTATATGGATTTTAACTTGTTTTATCTATGTTGTAAGCCGCCCCGAGGCTTCGGCGAATGGGGCGGCATAAAAATGTTTTAATAAATAAATAAATAAATAAATAAATAAATAAATAAATAAAAGTCCCAGTTGTTGTAGCCGTTCTTCATTGGGGAGCTGCTCCAGCCAGTTGATCATTTTGTCTTTCTTGTACTTTTTCCAACTCAATAATGCCCCTTTTCAGGTAAGGTGACCAGAACTGTACACAGTATACAGTACTCCAAGTATGGCTGATTGAAAGAATTGTATAGGGGGAATACGCTTAGCAGTTCTATTTTCTGTTCCATTCCTATTACACAAGTGACAGAAGGTCTACTGCCAAATATTAATAATCCCTCATACTGGCTTTATTTATCTGTTTGTTTTATTTAAAACTTTTATACCCCATCCACCACTTTGACGTCTCGGGACGGCTTACAAAAAGAACATTAAAATAGCAAACCAACACAGCATCCAGCAATCAAGATAAAAACCCCAGTTAAAACAAACTAAACATTAAAATAGCGGGAAAATAAAAAGGGTTTCACCTGGCGCCGAAAAGAATGAAGTGTTGGCACCAGGCAAACCTCTCTGGGGAGCATATTCCATAGATGGGACTTTAACATCGTTCAGTGAGCATTTTCCATCAAAACGTAAGTGTTGTTAGTACATACCAATGTACTGCCAATCAAACCATACACAGAGTTATCGGGGTATGGGTGTGGAGTGGGAAACAGCAAACACAGTATTTGTAGTTGTATTCATTTGTATTTGCATTTCCCTAGCAGCTGATTTCCCAACAGCTAATACAGGCAAAAGAAAATATTTTGAAGCCAGAGAAGAGAAGTTGCCCATAAGAAGAAGAAATCATTTATTCAAGTATTCAGGAAAATAACCAGCTCAGGCTGGTGTCAAGAAGGAGTTGCAAGTCTCTCAGAGAGGTTTCCAAAGCATCTTCCACATGACAATTGTTGCAGGAGAGTTTTACAGGAACTACATTGCATAGGTAGATTTTTGCAGCCCTTCCCTACATTAGAAGCTGGTGAGCAAAAATAGTACGGCAATCCTCTACAAGGCAGTTGTAATCAGATACAAGATCTTGCCTTTTAGATCAAGTCAAAGGCACCCTAAAGCCCTTATTGCACTTACATCACTTAATTTGGTAATGCATATTTACACATTTGTTAAAAACAAAACAGAAAACTATCCTCAGGCTCCAGCAGAAGCCAGGCAACCAGCACCAGGCCATCTCTACATGGGCCAGAGTTCACTCCATCACAATAACAGAGTATTTGGGGGAAGTAAGCCTTTATGGCATACACAAGAGTTTCCCCACACTTCTTCTGCAGTGAATTCTAGTTTCAGCCAAATGACCCCCAAGTGGTATTAAACAAGGAAGATTTCAGCCCCAGCTATAAAACCTGGAGTCCCCTCTTCCACATATGCCACCCTATAAGCCCTGGCCACCAAAGCCCTTTGGAGAGCTCCCTCCCAAATGCATCCTAACAAGTCATGTCACACGTGTGGATGCTCCCACGGTCCTCTGCTGGTGATACAGGCTGCAGCTGCCTTCCAATCTTATGTTTGTTCAGGCACTGGTGGCATTCGATGAAGACCAAATTCAGAGGTTGCGCTCATAAGCAGTGGTCATTTTTGCTAGTGGAAGGCAAGTGGGTGGTGTAGCAGTGTGTACAAACGCGAACTGGGTTCAGTTGCCTGAAATGGGGCAGAGGCGCCAAGTGTGATGAGCAGCGAGAGCAGAAGATCTGGAGAAAAATAAAATCATGTATCAGGCAGGGTCAAGAGCCACCTGGTATTACAATATTCCCAATTACAATATTGCGTGGGAGAAGCAAAGCCACCATTGGGGTCTGGTCAAGATTCAGGTACAGCTAATCAGGACCTAGTAGAGATCCAACCATGGACACATGCAATAAGATTCAGTGGTGTCTCTTCCTTGCACCAGATATGCTGTCTGGACTCTCTTTTGCTCTGTTCCCTCAACACTTGCTAACTTAATGGTCTGTACTTGCGGCTGCCATTTTCCCACTTTGTCCTACCCGGAGATGCTACCTCTTCAGCTCTCCTTTGGGCACACTCCTTGCTCACGGAGTTTAAAAGGGGGTCCTCCAAGGGGATAATCTACTCCAGGGATTGGGAATCTCAGATCTGGGGGCCACATCTACTCTTCCTGGAATTCCAATTTGGCTCCCCCAGAGAGGCACTCCCTCTTCTCCACAACCACTCATCACTTGGAGCTGTTCTGGTGTGTGTGTGTGTGTGTGTGTGTGTGTGTGTGTGTGTGTCACTTATTCTGATAAGTTGTTATTAAGGCTTACTTATTAGCAGTAAGACATTAAACTAAAATATCCTGGTATTAGGTCCAAAAGGGTCCTGTCCCTTTTGCCTTTGGTCTCACCCACCACTGCAATGCAAGCTCTTCCCCTGCTCAGGAGCTTTTCCTTAACTGGGTTTGGTCTTGGGCCAAAGTAGGTTCTGTATCCCTGATCTTATCCAACCGTTGCTCTATGCTCAAAACCTATATAGAGAATGACTGTCCAGTCTCTTTGCTGCTCTTCACCCAGATGAAGGCTCTGGCAGGTCCATGCACTGCTCTATTCTCCTACCTTTCCACAACTCCGGCAATGATGCCGTCGACGAAGAAAAGTGAACGGTGCTTGGCAAGCCATACAGTGGCTGCAAGTGCTGTCTGGCACCCAGTCTGGTGGCATCAACCCATCTGAAAAGGAGCAGAGGGGCACTTGGTGACATGTCTATGCAGCTTTCTTCTGACAACTGAACTATATAATTTTTCCCAGGAAAAAAGTGTCAAAAGAACTTATTTTCAGGATAAATGCAAGAGGCCCTTCTGACCACTGTACATAATATTGGACACAGAAATATATTAAATGGCAAAGCAAGTGTATAGGGAGTGTCTGCAGTTTGCAAGGAACTGCAAACTAAAAGTCATTGCTCATGCACAAATACTTCATCAAAGTCAGGAGGCCCAAAACTTAAGAAAACACATCACCATAAGTGAGAAAAGCCATTGCAAGGCAAGAAGTGGACAATGATCAGGATCTCTGTTTGGCTACAAATCAAAGACCAAATTTTCAGTTTGTCACAAAGCCAAAGTGTCCCCAGCTGTGCATAACAGAATCTAGAGCATGGGATGAACTTTTTCTGAACGCTAGGAGGAGAGAGGCGGGGGGGGGGGGCAGAAAAAGACAGCAGGAAAAAAAGGAGGGGTACACAAGCCACATCCCCCAAGAAAGAAAAAATGCTCCAACAGGAGCACGTAAGTGGCACACTTCATACTGTGGGCTCTCACCTTCTCTCCCAGTGTCTTCCCTACTACTGGAACAGAGAGCACAGTCTGCCTGATGAGGTGCTGTTGGAGCCAAACAGACTTCCACTTCTGAAAAGGAAAAGAAAGAAAGAGATTAATGTCCAGGCTGCTACCACTCAGTGCAAACACATCTGCCCCAAAGTCTTGACCCCTTGTGGACTGGAGTGGCCTTGTAACTTGTATTGCCCTCTAAACTTGCCTGGTGTCCCAGTGAGGGAGTTGTGACATAACAAATTATTATTATTATTATTATTATTATTATTATTATTATTATTATTATTATTAGAACATTTCTATGCCGCCCCTTGCCAAAGCCTCGGGGCGGCTTACAACACAATAAAATACAATACAATACAAAAATAACAATATAAAATTAAAATTAATAATATAAAATAAATAAAAAATATAAACGATATAAAAGAAGTTAGAAAAGTTATAAAAGAAAAGAAAAGAAGTCACCCTGGGTCTTAATGGGCTGCCTGCATAACAGTGGAAGACCCCACCAGTGCAATAGGGATCCAGTGGTTCTTAAAGCAACCCAAAGTGAGTGAAAATACTTATTTCAGGGATAGGATAGGTCAAGTGAAGCTTGTAGAAGACATTTTCAGTGCTGACCTGCCCTAATATAGAAACAAGCCTTTTGCTCATCCCCAGAATTTCTATACAGAGTGCTAACTTCTCATTGCGGCAGGCGTTGTTCCTACTGAGCAACACAGTCAGTGGGAGTGCAACGGCTCCATTCACTCCTGCCCTATGTTTTCTTCCATGCGAGATGGGAAAATGGGGCAGGGGAGAAACAATACTTCCTTTTCCATAACTGCTGCACTTTATTCAGTTCAGGAAGCAGAGGGTACATGCCTGCTTTTTAAGTGAAAATCAAAATATATTTTGCATAAGGCTTCAAATGGGAAAGATGTAAAGCCTCTCGGCAAATGGGAAGCCACCCCAAGGCCAGGGACCAACCACACAGTCCACCTGAGTCTCTCCTCCTCCAAAAAACACTTGCTATGAAGACATACCAAATGCTCTATGTTCATCACTTCAACAGGTGCCCCTTATGCTAAACTGCCAATGGTCAGGAAACTGAACTGAGCGAAGTCACATACCAATGATCAGGGATGTTTTCAGAGCAAGAATGTCGACAACCATCTTGCTCTGAGCACAATAAAGACTTCCAGGTGGAGGACTCTGAGTGCCTCCACCACTCATATTCCATCTTTCTTTGATAGATTTTTTTGGAGCAACTCAAGGGGAAACAGACATATTGGGAACCTTGGGAGAATTACAAAAGGAAGATATGGTTATCTGGTCACACACGTGTGTGTAAAACGAGACAGAGTAATGGCAAAATAAAAGCCCATTGTTGAAGGAGCCTGTGTCCCTGCAACTCTCAGTTCTAGGGACCACTAGGATGTGCTGCCCTAGAGCCTACACAGAAGAGCACCGCACCTTCTGGGGCCACTTCACACACCACGTTCCTGCTGGGCAGAGACGTATTCTCCATGAAATTGCAGGATGGGCAGAATGGAGAATAGTAGGCCAACTCCAGTTCATGGGTTTTCACAGTGTATTCCCGGCATAGTTTAATGTGCTGCATTTGTCCCCAGTCGCCTGCGACTAGCATTGCTCTACAATCAGTTCCTTCAACATGATCAAGAGTTATGCAGAGGCCCCCTCATTAGTTTGTAGGAAGGAGGAACACCTTAATAATGTTCACTTGGAGCACCTTAATAATGGACTAGCCTCCCAAGGCAGGCCTGTCAGGCCCTCCTCACTTTGCCTTGAAATGAACTCTAAAGACTTATTTATCCTGGCAGGCACTTTTTAACTTAGAGCCTCTGATAAAGACTTTGGTTTTAGTCTTTAGTTCCCAAATGATTTTTATGATATGGTTTATCTTACAGTTTCTTAATGTTGCTGTTAGGATTGTTTTTGTATGTGTGCGCTTCATTTTTTGTGAGCTACCTTGAATCTGATTTTATCATTGAAAGGCAGGGTATAAATGTTGCAATAAATAATATGCATTCATGCCTTGCATTTGGATTACTCAGAGAATCTTACACCATTCCAAATGCCACAATCCATTATAAAAAACCAACTTAAAAGCCAAACAATAGAGAAACTGGCTCAGCCGGTACAAAGCCCTGAACAGGGTTCAACCATATAAACCTCTTCTGTCTGGCAAGACAGAAACTTGTCAGAACAGGAACGTTTTCACCAAGCAGCCACACACAGCAAAGCGGGGTGGGTAGGAATGAACCTCTTGGGGCAAGCTATTCTATAACTGGGAACAGCCCCAGAGTGCTGGAAATTGAATATCCAAGCATTACAACATAATGACACCAGATGTGTCACTGACATCACTGCCTGGGAGTTTTGGCAGAACAACACAGGGAGCTGTCTTAGCTGAGTCAGGCCCTTGGGCCATCCAGCCCAGTATTGCCAACACCAGTGGGCCATGCAGGGTTTCAGGGAGGATTTTTTTCCAGTGCTGCCTGGAGATGCCAGGGATTGAAACTTGGACCTGCTGCACACAAAGCAGGTGCTCCAGCACTGCGACGGGGCCCTTTCCCGAGCGCTGCCCGTGTGCACTGCACCTGTCTCTCATGCTGCCTTTCATGGAAATACTAAAGGAAGGGCTACAAAGCCTCGCCCCATAAAGAAGAATCACTTACGGCTGGAGTCGGTCACCTCCACTTCCTCCATCTGGGTTGTCACAATCTTAAACACGCTCTTCAGAATCGCACGCAGGTCACTAGCAAAGTTGGTTTGGAGCTGGTCTGCCACTCCTGCCCACACACAGCACAACAGTTTCAGTATATTCTTTGTACAGTGACAGAAAGGCTAAGACAAGTGGAGGATTTCAATCAACACACAGAAAATCCCTCCTTCCTTAGCTGGAAGCAAGCAAATGGTCTCATCACAAATGCTAATGAAGCACTTCTTTCAGTTAAAATTTGGGACCAACAAGGATGGTCCATACCCAACAGGACAGGGATGCTTAGAATTCATTTCCTGAAGGTATGAATAAGGGCCTTTCTTGTCTGTCTCCTGTAATTTTCATGTTTTCTGAGCTCAGCAACAGTTTCCTAAATTAAATAACTTGAAAATGAAAAAAGCCTCCTCCAAAAAGTTCTGGACTTTGTGCAGGGGAGGGAAGGAAATAGAAATGGCACATGACAAAGGGTTTGTGGTGAGAACAAAGCATGAGTCGCTTCATATAGTGCTTTCATCAGAGGAAAGACTTTACTGACCTCCCTGACTGATACCTGTTTGGAGCCAAGAGAATATTCCAGACGAGTTTAATAAGAGTTTCCGGCTCTATGAGGGCAAGTGCAAAGCCCTTGGTCTTTTGTAGTCATTGTGCATTTGGAGGAGAGAATTTAGAAGCTCTCCTTTTCACTAATCTCTCCCACTTATTTATTTATTCATATCCCACCTTTCTCCCATTGCAGAACTCAAGGTGGCTACATGCAACTCCCCTTCAAGGGAGCCAGCCCCAGGTCTTCAACATGGCCATCCTTACCTGCCTTCAGATCATACTCTGGGACTGAGTATGGTACCTGAACAAACTAGCCATTGAAACTAATAATTAGATCAAATTATCTAATTTTTATTTACCTATATTTATTTACCTTACTTCAGAGAATTTCTACAGCAATTTTCATTTTAAAAATCCAAAGCAATTTACAAGATAAAATAATAAAATATCGGGGCTGAAACACAGTATAAAATGCTTCTGTAAATAATAAATAAATGAAAAACCACTGTGTAAGAAGCCAACAGCTGCCACCTTCAGAGCTACAGGAATTTAATGAGAGTGCAGGACAAAGAACACTATGCTCTAACATGCCACATCTGCTACCTCCATTTTAAACCTGGCTATACTTAACCTATGATTTAAGCCCTTTGCTCTCTGGAAGCAGCACTTCTTGCCAGAATCTCTTCCCTAAAAGTTTACCCAGTTGCTTGGGGGTATTATTATCCGATGTGCCACCCTGCCATTGGAATATATCTGCTCCTGTTCAAAATCTGGAGAAAAGGAGACTTTCCACCTCTTTCATATGCCTGAAATGTGGAGGATCGTATCTTGTTTGAGCCAACTAGCTGAATGTAGGGTGAAGGGAAAGGTGGATTATTTTCCCTGGCAAATGTACAGCACTCACCAGAGATGCAGACAAACAACGTGTGGATCATGTCCTCTGTACTGCTGTAACGGGCTCGTAATTCCAGCCACCGGGCACTCCGTGGGGAGTCTGTAATTGCTGCTACTTTGGTACTGTTAAAATCTTGCCCCAGATGCCTGTTAAGATAGACAATAAACAGAACAGGTGAAAAGTACTCATTCTCTTGCCCCCTACAACCTGCTTTCTCAAAGGGAGGGTTCTGCCAGGCCATTATCAGCCCTAGGTATCTGAACACCATCAAGGAACTGCCAGAGAGAGGCCATTTCTGCCACTGAAGATAAGCACGCCGTGTGTGCCCACATGGGGGCTGCAGCAGGCAGGATGGATGCCTTCCTTTTACTGTTTCCAAGAGACAGGGCCACCAAGTCTGCCAGCACTGATAGAGGTACAATCACTGCGCAAACAGGCCTCAGGGGCAGTATTTTACCACACCCAGCTGCTACTACCCCTCCAACTCTTCAGTGCTTCACACTGCTCAAAAACTACCAGCCTCCTGCTGAAGAACCTCTAGGTTTTGAACCTCTGATCAGAGTCTTCTGGTGCTGCCTTGGAGAACAGCTTTGTTACTGGCAATACCCAGATATTTCGGAGACAAAAGAGTCACATGCCTTGGGTGGGATTCCATTTCCTCTCTGCTCCCAGCATTCAAACTGCCAACTGGGAGGATCAATACTTAAAGAGAAGCAAGTGATCTACTGGAAAGTGGGGGTGGGAAGACAGGTAAGAGGTTCTTGGTCATACCTTGAGACAGACAGGCAGCCACATGGAGTTGCAAAGCCCCCCAAATCAGGAGAGTCTACAGCACCGGAGGGCTGTGAATCCACAGCACTCTGATTCAGCACCCGCTTCTCCAACTTGTACAGTTCGTCCTTGGTCAGCACCCGCAGCAAATCCCTGCAAAGGAAAGAAGGCTCATAAAGGAGGCATCTAGGAAAACAGGACAAGTCATCTCCTAAGCAAGAGAGTGAACAGCACAGCTCACATGACAACCTAGAAGGACAGGCAACTCCTAGCTGCACTTATAACAGAGCCTTAAGTGTGGTGTGAAAGCCAAGCTGGTAAGACATGGCTCCCAGCAGAAATACCACGTGCAAGCATGTGCAGTGGCTTACCCCCATGTGCCAGGCTGGCTGGGTATGATGGAAGTTGTAGTCTCACACATCTGAAGGACACCAGGCTGCTATATACCAGTGAGGCAACACATGGGAGAAGTAGCCCACTACGCCCTCTAGCATGCACAACCTATAACCTGTCAGCTTATTACAATATCCCTTAATATTTCGCCCTCTGTTAAATACATGTCTGCCTGTAGCAGATACACATCTCCACTGTCATTTCTGCAGTGCCTCCCATGCTAAACATTTAACTTACAGCTGATAAATCATCTTCAGCAGAATCATATAATGAAATAATTCTAGGAGTGTAGGATGTCAGGCACTACATTTTTGTAAATTAAATACTCTGCCATATTAAAAATTCCCACATATGTATTTAATCTACAACAGGGAGAAGTACTGGGCCGGAACTTCTCTGTCTGATGCAGGGAATTTTATAATATATGGAGACACTCAGACTGCAATTAGAAGTGATTCAGTCTGGGAGAGGCACTCCCATGTGATTTTGCAAAACATGCCGTTTGGCATTCAGCTCACCCCCTTCTACAAAGGGCCCAATTCTCGATGACTTTTAGGCAGGTTTCTATGCAGCATGCCTGATTTTTGTCACTCACCTGATTTTTCTAAGCAAGACATAGAAGGGGCTGAAAACTCGGGAAATCTCCTCAGGCCTCCGCTCCAAGTTGAGGGGTCCATCAGGATAGATCAGAAGACCACTGTGCAGAGAGCAAATGTTAAAAAGACATGATGAAGCACATTGGAAAAGAACAGGAAAGAGGTTCGATATGGAGCTGCTTTCAACAGCCTAACTGCAGTGGCCCTTTTCTTACTTCCTTTGAGCACTGAATACTGAACGTTACTATGAAGGATCCCTGAACAAGAAAAGCAACAGCACACAATTCATGACCCCTATTCAACCCTTAAAAGTACATTTCATGTACCCTAACCAGACAAAAAAACTTATTTTAATAACTTTCCTGAATCACTTTCATAGCCCTCTGTTGCCCTTATACTGGTTACATATCTGATTAGATGCAACTTTCTCTTTGCGTGCTCTGTATTCTGCCTATCCTTAGCCAAAATCATGATAGCACCCATGTTGTCCAAGAATTAGAAATCACAGGTAGAGCTCTTGGATTGTCACCTGCATCAAAAATGACAGCAGTGGACAAAACCAAATGTAGTATGACCACATTCCTGCAAGGACAGGAGTTTGAAGAACCAACAAGAACAGATTTGGGCAAGGGAAGAAATGATAGGGAAGTGTTATCTGCAAATAACTGGATCCCAGGTTTGGTCTCTCATGCAGCAGCTGGCCCAAACCAGGTCCAGTGGGGAACATGACTGACTTTTGGAAAAAAGTGAAATATGTATCAATCAATCATCCCTTTTTCCTTCTAACCAGGGGCAGGATGAATGGCCATTTGGACAGTACAAAAGTTCTCAGCAATAGACCAACCAGCAATCGCAGCTCACCAGCTGCACCGGCATATAGACTATAGAGTAGGGCCACTGTGGTGCCATGATTAGACAGGGACTGAAGAGATCTGGGTTCTGGTCCCCATGTGGCCATGAAGTTCCCTGGGTGACTTTGGGCCAGCCAGACTCTCAGTCCAACCTACCTCACAAGGCTGTTGTGGGAATAAGACTGAGAGCAGAAGGAGAATGATGTATGCTACTTTGAGTTCTTTGTAAGAAAAAAGGTGGTGGTGGTGGTGGAGGAAGAGGAGGAGTCGGAGTCTAAGAGCGTCTGGATAGCCATGCATATCCCCTATCCCAGTTGCAGAGAAAACCAGAAACATAGGCTCCTGCACACCCAGATCAGAAAGAAATATGTAGGAAGCGTCTAAAGACAGAAGCAAGTGCTACACATGAAAAAGAATACAAAAGCAGCACTTTTAATCAAAAGCTATAAAGAAGAATAACATGGTAAAAAGGTTATCAAAAGGGCAACAAGTCACAAGAGAACTTGGCTTGAAATTAAAAGAGGATACTAGATTCCAGGAAAGGAAGTGTCACAACCCCACAGCATAAACTATGACTTGGAACAGATTCTCAAGAATCTGTATAGGGGATTGTTCTCACAGTCCATCAAGAGAGAAGATGTTTAAGTTACAAAGCAAAGTAATACACTGAGAAGATGGATATTTGGCTTTCCTTTTTTGAAGTTTATGCATAATTGTTTCTATTGATAGCTGTAGTACTACACACATATATACTTAAAATAAACACTGTATATACAACTACTGTATGTTATGAATTTTAATCACTGTAAGAAATGTGTATTTTCCCCATTTAAATAGTGAGATCCATATTAAAAACATTTAAATATATTAAAAAATGAAGACGATCACAGTGGTTTGGTGTACAAGGAGAAGAATTTATCCACATTGTAGTGCACTCTTTGGTGGAGGAACAAACTTCCCTGAGGAACTTCAGCGTGGCAGGGAGCTCCAGATGGCACCCAAAGAAGTCACGAGAACTCTACTTACTCAATGCAAGTTGTCCTATAGTATTCTGCTAAAAGGACATGTCTGTGTTGTCAGCTTTGGCACAGCCACGTCAAATAATTCAGAGGTTTGGGTCTCTGCAGCTCTATGCTATTACATGGTTCTGTACCCAACCACAAGTTGACTGGTAACACCACATACCTAATAATGGCCAGGCGTGGAATGGTGAACATCAGCTGTGGCTCATAACCATCAATCATCTCCTGAGTCAAGTAGCCACATTTCAGAGCTCTAGATGAGTGAGGGAGAGAGGGTCAGAGGATGAGATAAAGGGGCATGAGAAGCTGTCAAACACCCCAGTTCAAGCCATCAATTATCACAGAAGGAAGCTGGGCCGAGTTTCCCACATCAGAAAGCATTTTGACCAGCTTGCGTTTCAAGATGCAGTTTTAGTCTGTCACAGACATTGGTGGCACTGTTCCAAGCCACGGAGGAAACTGCTGAGCAGTTGCTGGCAAAATCCTCACCTGGCTACAGTTTCACAGAAGAGCACAATAATCTCCTGCTGCCTATAGATCTCTTCAGGTGACTTCACTGAGACAAGTGACGACACGTAGCTGAAAAAGAGAGAGGCTTTGAAAAACTAAATCATCACTCCACCCCACTCTGTATTCAAAGTTTGAGACACTGCCCCATCACCTGCTTTCTTATTCTAACTAGATTATGGGAGCTTACATCCCAGCACCCAGCTTGCTCAGAGATTCCTGCTGCCACCCCACAGCCAGTTGGACTGGATCCAGCCAGCATGCTTTTTAGAAACTTTTTGTTTATATCCAAAGAGTAGCAGTAAGACTTATTCACTTCTGTTCCCACTTTCTGCTCTATACTTTAGTTCTGAATATTATCTAAAAGCCAGCCTGCCTACACTGTTGTTCTCACACCTTATGTTGCAACAATAAAACAGATGAACAGATCAAAGGCCTCCCAGGTTCCACAAGTGCCAGCCAGATGACTCTGGGAAGCCCATAGGTGGGGCAATGCTAATCAATACCGAAGGAGATCATCACATACCTCAGCTCAAACTCAGCAAAGAGCACATCAAAACGGATCAATGCCCTATGGACCGGCTCTGAAAAGGGGCCAGGTTGGTTCAGGCTTTGCTCCCGGAGTACCGTCCGCACCAGCTCCAAGCTGCATAGCAGATCCTTTGCCAGAGGTCGTAGCCGTACTCCATCTGCCTCATCCACATCAATATAGGTGCGTGCCATGAGACACTGAAGAGAGAAATTCCGACAGCTCAGAAATACGCCCTGCTCCTTGGCTCCACCTCACTATACCATTGACATCAATAAAGCTATATAGGTAAAGAGCTAGGATAAGCATTCCAGTCAACTACTGAAGCTGAATAGCACAAGATGACCTCCTGGAAAAGAAGCAAGCAACGCTTCCCAAAGGTTCAGCCCTCATCTTCACAGAAAAAGCCAGTGGCAGCATAGCAAAAGGAGAGCAAAAAGAGAAACCAAGCATCAGAAAGACCCCTATTCTAATTCTTCATGTTGGAGTTGAGTTCTATTTAAAATACAAGCAGAACATAGAGGTATCATATTTCACTCCAGCAAAGCATATGCAGTGGACCATGGAAGCCGCTATGTTCTCCCATGGCTCACCTCAGCAGCAAACAGCAGGTGGTTCCGGAGGTTGTCCACAAGCAGGTCTTCGGGGAATTTGATGACATAGTCACGGCCGTGACGTTCCTTGGGGATGCACTCATCCATGATCCGCTCTATGATAGACAGCAGTTCGGCCTGGCAGATGTGGAAGAGGCATTACTACTTTTACACACAAGTATGTTCCAGGCAGAGCCATTAAGCTGGCAGACAGGAGCTCTCTTCTTCCCTGGATGGCACTGAAGGGCAGAGTAGACTGGGAATCTTTGTAGCCAACCATCTCAGCCAGAAGTGGGACTGAGCAACAAGGATATGACAAGTCATAAGAGGAAAGCATGGTTCTGCATCTTGTGTTGACAAGATGGGGAGAAAGGAGAGGAAAGACCCCAAGACTGGTCCACAATTTATTTCTTCCTCTGCCTGAGCTGGGACATTGCACTGACACCATCTCTTCTCTCACCCACAACCATGACCATGTGCCCCCAACAATAACAAGGATGCCAACACACTGTGCATACACCTCCACCTTCTCCCTCCGATTGCTGCCTTCTCTACTCCCCCTGAACACCAAGATGGGGGGACAGCTACTGCCTGCCTTTCTCCTCCTCCCTCCCTTAATGCTGATGGCCACATGCCCTCTTCCTGTTCTCATCTCTATCCCGCCCCCAGCCATTGCAATGGTGGTGGCAGTCCTCACCCCTCCTCTTGCCCCACCATCAAGGATGATGGAGGCAGCTGCTGCCCAGCCACCTGCCTTCCCGGCTGCTGCTCTCTCTCCTCTTCCACCCCAGCTATCGTGGCCTGCCACCCTCCTCCTCCAGTCCTCCAACTTTCCTGGTGCTGGATGTTGGCCTCCTCTTCCTCCTCCTGATGGAAGTGGTGGCAAGCCTTTCTCCTCATCGGCTCTTTGCTTGGCAGGAGGTGGCCCTGAAGATTGCCTGAGCTGTGACAGCACAGGTGATCCCCAGGCCACCTTCCCACCAATGACTCACTTTGAGGAAGGACTCCTTTGGGAACTGCCACCAGAGGTGTGCAACTTACCCCACCTCATGGAAGGGACAGCCCTTACATGTGATTGAAGGTGCAGCCTGGGTGGGATGAAATAGCAAAGCCCATCGCACCGGAAACCTCTTGCTTTTAGCTTGCATTTCTTTCCCAGCACAACAGTTCCTCCAGTCATGGAGCTTCACCAAGAGAAGGTCTCCAGAAAACCTTTGGGCAAAGTGCCTCAGCTCAGCAGCTCCTGCCCATCAACGCTGCATTTTAAAATCTCTCCCCACCTGCTTGCTGGTCTACCACATCATCGAGTTTGTCCTAAAGCAGAATGCCTTACCTGGCTGAGATGTAATTGGTTTAGCAGCACCAGATATTGCTGGGGATCTGTCTCTACATCCAGGCAGTTGATTTCGGTTACCACTCGAGTCACTCGCTCATCAGCATAGAAAAACTGTGATAGTAGTCTGGGATCAGAACGCTGAATAAAGAATGGAAAACAGAGAAACGGAAAAGAGATCATTCTCAGCCGCATTCTGTGAAGGCTTAGTGCTCTTAAAGAACAGATGAGGTAGGAGCCCTGTTTCCGGACTGTGCCAATTCAGGTTGAACGTGTCCAATCCAAAGAATTCCTTCTATACAGAAAACTAGATGTCAGAAAGAAAAGTTCTGGCCCATTCATCTCCTTGATGTACTGCTCTTTAGGCAGGAATATATTTGCATGAAAGAGCTTCCAGTTTTGTGAGTCCCCATGCAGTCTAACTAAAATGGTATGGCCCAGAAATAGTGTTTCATCTGTTTATGGGAACTACATGAATTACAGCATCCAATTATTCCTTGCATAAACTGCTCTGGATATTTTAATAGGGGAAAAAACAATTCTGCAGGTGAAGGGTGCTAGCAACAGAATGTACAGTAGCAGAGCATTGGTCCTCAGGCATATTGCCTCAAGATAGGGAGGTTTCATCTCACTATCATGGTTAGTGCCCACTAAGAGACTTGTCCTCCGCAGGCTCATCTAAACCTGTTTGAAAGCCATCTAAATCTGTGGGCATCTTCACATCTCACGGCAAAAAAAATGGTAAGTAAATGAAGTGTTGTACAGGCACCCATCAGGACTGCCCCAAGACATTTTGCTGCCTTGGGCAAAGGAAGAGTTGCCATCCTCCCCATTCCACGTATGAGACTGGCCCAATGCAGGATGGAGGAAATATGCCCCCTCCAGAACAGATGTTGCTGGATTACAGTGCCCAGACTTAACCAAAATAGTCAACGGTTAGGGTTGATGGGAGCTGCAATCCAAGAGTATCTAGAGGGCCACCTATTCCCCACTCCTTGCCTAAAGAGAAGGCCGACTCTAACAGCTATTTCAAGTTTCCAGATACCACCAGAACTATGTTTTAGGAGAACCACTTCATGTATGTATGTATGTATGTATGTATGTATGTATGTATGTATTTAAAACATTTTTATGCCACCCCCATCTCAACAAAGCCTCGGGGCGGCTCACAACCAAAACAAATACATAAATACACAAATAATAACAATATAACACTAAAAAAATGTAGTCAGACATTATACACATACTTTCACACATGCACTTTTAAGTAACAAACTTTACACAGATTTAACACAGAAGATGTTTCTGCAATTGTCATTAGCACTTAGGTTAATGATAAGCAACACAAAACATTTAAGCCAACCCAGCACACCAAAATATACACTGACACACATTCCTGGCCAATTCTGTGCTATTTGTTTTTGAGAAAGAATAATAAAAATCCAGCAGAACAAAAGTGTTGGTGTGACTCTCGGGGCATAAGTTGTCTATGCCAGCCTGATGGAGCAGGCTTTCCAGAGCATGCACTTCTAAACCAATTTATAGCAAGTAACAGATAAGAAGAATTGGGGAGGGGTGAGAGAAAGGAGGTAAGACTAAAGATTTAAGAGTCTACAGTGGGCTCAAAAGATATTTTGAGACATGAAGACACACAAACATCAAGACTTTAAAATTCCCATGTCAACCAATGGTCACAAAAGCACAAAACCTGAAAAATCTTCACCGTGGAAAGCAGAAGCAAGGCAAGCAGAGAAGGAGAGGCAGTGGAAGGTAGCATCTAATGCCAAAGTTGCCTTTTCACTAAATATCAGTGCTTGGTTTAGGCTGCCAGGCAGCTTTTGGGTTCCCCCCAATATTTGTTTATTATAATGATTTTATGGAGTCGATACCAATATAAAATACAACCAGAAGCAATGAATCAATATGAATTAAGGTATTATATCCAGTTATTATGACAAAAACACAACAGTATGATGGACCAAAGGAATGAGCAGGTTGCTTACCTGTAACATGTTCTTCGAGTGGCCATCTGTGCATTCACACATATGGGTGCTGCACCTGCACAGTGCCTCGGCCGGAAGAATAGAAAGCTAACGGTTTTTGGCGGGAAAATGCTCTGCTCCCCTTCCCCCTGCAGTATAAATAGAGCAGAGCGTCCGCCATTTTACTCAGTCATGAAGACCGACATTCGCCCCCTAACATTCAAAAAACAGCATCACAACAAGGAAAAAATCGGTACCGTAGGAATAACACAGAACCAACAGTAAGAAAAAAACAGTCCACTCACCGACACCATGCGGGGCCAGCGGGTGGGTTGTGTGAATGCACAGATGGCCACTCGAAGAACATCAGTTACAGGTAAGCAACCTGCTCTTCTTCGTCGTGGCCTCTGTGCATCACACATATGGGTGATTAGCAAGCTTATCAGACTTGGAGAAGGGAAGGTGTCGTCAGCGAAGAATGGCAGAGAGCACAGCTCTACCAAAGGAACAATCCCTTCTGGCGCGTACATCAAGCCGATAATGCTTGGCGAACGTACATGGAGCAGCCCAAGTTGCAGCCTTGCAAATATCCTGAATTGGAACCCCTGCTGCAAAGGCTGACGAAGTCGCTACTGCTCGCATAGAATGCCCTCTCGGAAGTGAGGGCAAGTCAAGCTTTGCCAATTGATATGCTAGGACTATGGTCTGCACAATCCATTTGGACAGTCGCTGAGATGAGACTGGAGAGCCCTTGTCATGATCAGCATACTTGACAAAAGGTCTGTTGGAATTCCTGAACGCTTCTGTGCGAGACCTGTAAAAGGCTAGACAGCGCCTAACATCCAGCGTATGGAGAGAGCGCTCAATCGGAGTCAACGGAGATGGAAAAAACGCCAGGAGGACGATGTCTTGGTTCAAATGAAACGGTATAGCCACTTTGGGAAGAAACTCGGAGTCCATTCGGAGGATGACCTTTTCCTTGTGAAAGTTCAAGAACGGTGGATCTATGCGTAGAGCACACAGTTCACTGGCTCTCCTGGCTGAATTAACTGCAAGGAGGAAGGCAGTTTTCCATGAAACTAGGCGTAAATCTATTGTTGCCAAAGATTCAAATGGAGGTTTTGTAAGGGCCTGAAGCACAACAGAAAGACTCCACGTCGGCATAACAGGTCGAACTGACAGGTGCAAATTTTGTAGCGCTTTAAGGAAACGGCGAATCAGGGGTTGAGAAAAAACAGATGACCCCTGGATGCTGCCACGAAAATGCGAAATAGCAGCCATATAGACCTTTATAGATGAAGGCTTGAGTCCCGAGCGATGAAGGTCGAATAAAAATTGTAAAATATTCTCGATCAAAGCCGACTCTGGAGAGAAGGAACGGGTATTGGCAAAGGAAGAGAACCTTCTCCACTTTGCTGAATACGATTTGCATGTGGAAGGTCGTAGTGCAGATTCAAGAATTGCCTGGATATCCAAGGATAATACTATCGGTTCCAAAGCAGACCTTGACAGTTCCGAGGGAGGAGTTGGTTGCGTCGATCAGGGCAGCAACGGAGTCGATGGAAAATTTAGAACTATCGGAAGCACCACGCTGTGAGTTTCAGCGAGAGTAGGTCCGGGTGTCGGACTGTTCCGTTGTGTTGAGTTAACAGATGAGGAACAAGTGGAAGTCGTCGAAAAACTCCTCTGGACTGAGTGAGGAGAGTGGTGAACCAGGGTTGCCTTGGCCACCATGGGGTTATCAGGATTCCTGTGGCGTTGTCGTGCACGATCTTCGACACTACCCGCATGAGGAGTGGAATTGGAGGGAATGCGTAGAAGAACAGGTTGTTCCAGTCGATCATTAGGGCATCTCCCCTCGAGTCCAACCCCAGCTCTGGAGCAGAACGGTCCACACACCCTGTTCAACCGGGTTGCAAACAAGTCTATATCTGGTTGTCCCCATAACTGGAACAGCTGGTTGCAAACCATTCGATCCAACTCCCATTTGTGGGTAGTTGACATCTGTCGGCTCAGTGCGTCGGCTTCTACGTTGTCGGATCCCGCAAGATGAACCACCAGCATCATGATGCCCTGAGGAATGCACCAGTCCCAGATTTGCATTGACAAACGGGCCAGGAGAGGTGACCTTGTCCCGCACTGTTTGTTGACATAGAAAACAGCAGCTGTACTGTCAGACGCAATCTGTACAACTTGGCGGTGTAAGACGGTTTCGAAAGATTTGAGAGCGTTGAAAATCGCTAGAAGCTCAAGGAAGTTGATATGCCTCGCCGCTTCTCATTGGGTCCATGCCCCTTGGACCCAAAGTCCTGCACATGTCGCACCCCACCCGATGAGAAACGCATCGGTGTACACTGTCACTGTCGGTTGGGGTGGGTGGAACGGAACGCCTACAGACATGTTGCATGAAACAGTCCACCATGTCAGGGTGTGAAGGATTGAAGATGGAATCAGCAGAAGCTTGGTTTGTAGATCCCGCTGCGGACGGAACAAGTCATTGAAAAATAACTGGAGCAGGCGGAGCCTGAGCCTTGCGTGTGGCACAATGGCCACTGAGGCTGCCATGTGTCCCAACAATCTTTGTATAGTGATGGCTTGAACTGTCCTTTGTCGTCAAATCCAATGAATGTGTGTACACAGAGTGGCCCTGCGGGACGGAGGAAGGAACGCTCTTTGCAGGGTGGAGTCGATACGTGCTCCGATGAAATCGATGACCTGCGTGGGAACAAGTGACGATTTCTTAAGGTTAATACAGAGTCCGAGGTCATCAAGCAAAGCACAAGTCACACGGACAGTCACTAAAAGGTTGTCTTTAGTCCGTGACACAATTAGCCAATCATCTAAATAGGGGCAGACCTGTATACCCCGGAGCTGCAGGTGGGCACAAACCGGGGCCATGCACTTTGTAAAGACTCTCGGTGCCGTAGCCAGTCCGAATGGTAGAACATTGAATTCGAAAATGTCGGATCCGACAGCAAAACGAAGGAAGCATCTATGGGAAGGATGGATAGAAATATGAAAATATGCATCCTTCAAGTCCAATGAGGCGAACCAATCCCCTTCCCTCAGCAACAGAAGAATATTCTGTAAAGTGGACATCCGGAACTTTCTCGGTTTGATATATCTATTGACTCCTCTTAGATCCAGGATAGGTCGAAG